GGTGTTTTCATGCATCTGACTAGCTTATTGTCAGCATCAACAGCAGCTGCACTGTTACTTCCTCCTTTATGAGTCGCTCTGAACAAAGAATCGTCCAAATATGTGAACATAAAGCATAAATATGCCACCGTGACTGTGAGAGGCTAACAGAGGAGTTTCCGAGATCTCCCTGAAGATCGGACCGTCTCTGGAGACCACGGGTCACCAGATAAAACGTGGGTAATCAGATGCGCGTCTTTCCGTTGTCTTATCTAAGTTCCAGGAGACGGAAGTCCGCCTTTATCCCATCAGACGTTTCCCTTCAAACCACCATGATGGTGTTCAGAAGCCCCGTTGTGTTCTGGGCTTTATCGCTGCTGATGGAAACGAGTCATCGCTTTAAAACTCTGGAGAAAAAAGCTAATTTGATGTTAAAATCAGTTTCCTCCCATTTTCATTGCAGCACATGAAAACATAACATCTTCTTCTCAAGGTGGATTAATGTGGTAAAATTCCATAGCTGAGCGTGACCGAGGATGAAGTGTTCAGAGGATCATTTGTACTAAATTATTAGACGTGTGAAAGACTAGAAAATGGTGCATCTTTAGCTTAAAGGGACAGAACACACCCGAATCCTACGTGAGCACGGCATCACACGTCTCTCTGACCTCACTCGCGGTCACGCTGCCCGCCTCACAAACAGCTGACTCACACCAAACTCCACTGATCTCCCTCTTTCCTAGTCACTCTCTCTCTTTCTTAACATTGTTAATCACTTTTAATCGTTCTGAATTCTTTTTTATATTTTTAATTTTTTTGTTTTTGTGAAGCGCCTCGTGATTTTTACCTTGACAGGCGCTGCAGAAAAGATATTTTCTTCTTCTTTTCTTCACTTTTTTCAGCTAACATGCTGCAATGCATGCTGGGAAAAACTTTTGTTTTCTCCGTGAGACGTTGTGAACACCTGGAGTTAGCTTTCTGAGCTAACCGATTCATGGAAGAGACAACAATCACAAGAAAACAGCAATCACTCAGCCCAGCAACCCTGACCCAGAGGAAATTAAAGAGCAAGTAACTCCTAAATTAACTTGTTTTTGCTGATAACCTGCATAGACGAGTGTCTAATGGTGCTGCACACGTGTGTAATCATTAGTGTGGTAGTTTAGTGCAGCTTACTTTAAATGTAATATTTCAGCCCAGAACCATAATTCTGTCTCCATCCTCAGGTTAAACTCTGCTCCACATTCATGCAGAACCAGCGGTGGCTGATGGCTACACTGGAAAACGTGACGTTATCAGCAAATTACCACGTAGCTGCACCGCACCGGTCTCCAGGTGAGGCAGCCGCACCTCCACCTGGCTCAGCCACTCACCTGCCGATATGACACGTTAGCGCTCTGAGCTGCTCGCCTCTCCCTTTCACCTAATGAAATGGGGCGACGGTGGCACAGGAGTTAAGTGCTCGCCCCGTAATCGGAAGGTTGCAGGTTCGAGCCCCGCTCAGTCTGTCGTTGTGTCCTTGGGCAAGACACGTAACCCACGTTGCCTGCTGGTGGTGGTCAGAGGGACCGGTGGCGCCAGTGCTCGGCAGCCTCGCCTCTGTCAGTGCGCCCCAGGGCAGCTGTGGCTACATGGTAGCTCATCCCCACCAGTGTGTGAATGTGTGTGTGAATGGGTGAATGACTGATTGTGTTGTAAAGCGCCTTGGGGGGTTCCAGGACTCTAGAAGGCGCTGTATCAAATACAGACCATTTACCATTTAATGGTTGCGTTTGACAGGAAATCCTCCAGAATGCTGCAGAATCTGTGTCTGCTCTTCTCCTGAGCGGTAAGTCTTGTGTGAGTGTGTGCACGTGCGAGTGCGCGCGCGCTCATTAACATTTTTAGATTGAGAAACTCCGACAGCGCACGCGGGGGGGTTGAGGGGGTGCGGTCTACCACTGCCTCAGTGCCGCTCTCTCTGTCCGCCAGGCCACACCTCTTTCAGAAGCGTTTTCCTAACAGGAAGTGTGGATGAAACGCGTCTCCACTCAAGCCTTGACCCTCACTTTAAAGTTGAAGTCCCATTAGTCGTCACACACACTGAATCTGCATCTGACCCATCCCCTGGGGGAGCGGTGAGCTGCAGACACGGCTGCGCTCGGGAACCATTTGGTGGTTTAACCCCCCAGTCCAACCCCTTATTGCTGAGTGTCAAGCAGGGAGGCGTCGGTTCCATTTTTTCAGTCTTTGGTACGACCCGACCAGGAATCGAACGCTGATCTCCCAGCCTCAGGGCGAACACGCTACCACCAGGCCACTGAGAGAGTTGAGATGAAAAACGAAATGTCAAAAAGAATCAAAAGGCTGTTTTGTATTTTAACTAATAAAGTTAAACATATCCTGCATCAAGAGTAGCACAAGTGCTCCCAACCCCATCTGCATTTGTTGCGTATGTAACTCCGGATTCTGGAGGTGATTCTGTTGAGTAAACTAAGCAAATGAAGCATTTTTGACCATAAGCTGCTGTCGTTTGGTTGTTTCTGTAGCAGAACTCAAAGAACTGCCTCCAATCTTTCACAAAAGGAGCCTCAAACTCTTTTCTATTGTTATTATTGTTATTTTATTAAAATTTTCTGTTGAAATGTTTACTTTTATCTCAACACCTCCACCTGGATGGTTTGTTCTTGTCGGTTGTAGCATGCGGGTGAAAAGATGACATGGAAAACATCGATGTTATTTAGAGGCGAGGCTATAAAGATTCTTCTTCTGGGTTTTTGTAGCTTGAAGAAACTTCCTGCAGATATTTTTTTAATCAACATGTTCTGAAGCAGGACGTTTTGCATCATTTCAGCAAAGCAGAGGCGCTGAAATCCAACACGTCACATAACATTTGTTGGTTTGACGTCTGCAGAGGCTGAAGTGTGAGAAATGGTTCAAATGAACCCAAATACAGAGAGACGGGTGAATGCGTGATAACTAAACCAACACTCGTTGGCAGCTGACGAGAACATCACCTCTGTCTCCGTTGTTTCAAAGTGAACGATTAGAACGCGCACCCTGCAAATTCCTCTTTACTGCAAATGTTGCAGAACTGCTCTAGACGTTAATTCATGAAAAGATTAACTAAAAGACAGGTCAGCAATTCTTCACACATTCATGGAGACGCTTTCATACGAGAGTTTGAAGAAGACGCCACGTCAACCAGGAAGCGGCCAAACTGAAGTCTGTGCAAAGGCAGGAAAGTTCATTCCATTTTTCCTGCAACGGGGAATTCTCTGAGTGATCTGGGACAACAGCAAACCAGGAGGTGAAGACAGAAAAGCTGCAACACTTTTGCTTGGATGCATGTTTCCAAAAGCACACTTTATAAACACAATAAAGTACAATCAGTAGTTTTTAAACAAGTCTTGTTTTCATGAATAATTTGCTGCATGCTGCTGCAGAGCAGCTCTTATCCTTCGCTCATGGCCAGAATAAAAGGTACTTTGTCACAATTGAGGTCATATAGCCGGAGGGTTGCTGGTTCCAGGTGGAGGTGGTTGGAGGGGCTCAGCAGCCTCACCTCTGTCGTGGAGCCCCAGGGCAGCTGTGGCTACCACGTAGCTCATCAGTGTTTGACTGTGTGCGCATGGGTGAATGATTGGTGTTGTAAAACATTTTGGGGGGTTGCAGAACCCTAAATAAATGCAGGCCATTCTGCTCTGTGTGTGTGAAAGAGCAGGTCATCACTTGTAAACCAGGACCTGCTTAGAGCTGCAACTGGTTTCACTTCATTTCCCACACCTGATATCAGCAAAGCGTTGCCAGTGATTTCATGCTGCTGCATGCAGAGAAACGACTCGTTCCCATCGCACACAGCAAAGGTTTCTAATAGTTTGATGTTTTTCAGTGGAGGGTTGCAGCCCAGCGAGCAACTGTGTAAAAATTAACAGGGTTTATGCGTAACTAGGGCTTGCTGCGTAAGCCAAACAGGGAAAAAGTCAAGCCCAGCGCGCCGCTGACCAACATCTTATTTCCTCTGTAAAACGAGCCAAATTCACACTGGTGCACCAATTTCTCACAAAAGTAATCAACTTTCTTTCACCGGTTACTGCAACGCAAATGCAAACCGGTGATTGTCTGAGGTTCGGCTGTCCCGCTGATCACGCAAATCAATAATTCAAATAAAATCCTGTTTGCCGTCTTAAGCAAACACTTTAGCACATGAATGAAACCCGGTCAAACTGCACAAGACTGATGAAATCTTCCCAAACAGCTAGCCTCAGGCTGCAAAAACCAAGCAGGCTCAGGCTAAATGTGACGTCAGCTGACAACATTTACTCGAACAGATGGTTTCCTCTGCAGCACATGAATCATCCCAGTAATGTCTTTAATTGGACCCGTCCTCATTAGTGTGTGTGCGGAGGTGAACGGGGGAACTGGGAGGAAGATCTCGTTTGTGAGTTTTAACCGATCTACGTTTTGATGTGGAAGCTGAAGCCGCCTGCTGACGTGTTCACTGTTGTTGTTTTTCATTAGAATATTGAAGATATTTAATAAACAAAAAATGTATTTTTAAAAAGATTTTTTTCACAAACGTACAAAATGATGTCTGTTTGGGTCTACCGATGTGTTTAGCTGATGAGAATATTTTAGTTTTTGGCTGATAAATGTGTTTTTCTTCTACAACTAGAACAAAGTAGTGAACTTGGTCACCAATCAGGTTTCAGCAGGGCTTGGGGCCCCTCTGGCTCCTCCCCTAAAGCCACCCATGCAGAAACCTGATTTTTTTTTTCCATACGCAACTTTTCAGCCTTGAGAATAGTTGTGATTCTGTAGTTTATTTTGTATTCGAGACCTTTGTCAGAAGTCTCTCCTGTACTGAATCAGCTGTTGGGTTTAGCGCACAGAAGACGCGTCATGGTGAGTTTTGGGTCACTTTGGGGGAGTTGCGCACCTGTAACCAAAGAAGGCGCAGCAGCAGAGGAGTTCCCCCTCCCTCTGCGGCAGCGCGGGGCGGTTCTGCGCCACTCCCCTCAGCAGCGCTCTACTTCAGGGCGCAGTTGATCGCCAGACTCGCACGTGGAACTACAAGTGGATGAACTGCCCGCGCGCTCGGCCCAGCCCGGCGTTTCCTTTTAAAACGGTTATGTCTCGAGCCCGATGCAGTCAGCCGCCGCGCGCTCCTCGGCTTCCCCCGTGCCGGAACCGCACACACTCAGAAGCGTGAAACACTTTGTGAGGATGCACCCCGCCGCCTAACGTGGCTCTGTTGTTATCTCACCCCCTCCCCGCGCTCTTTGCACAGAAGCATGGTGGATAAAGGCCCCTTGCTGACTTCCGCCGTCATATTTTACCTCTCCGTCGGGGCAGCCATATTCCAGGTCCTGGAGGAGCCCAACTGGAAGCTGGCAGCAAAGCAGTACAGAGACCAGAAGGACAAAATCCTGGAGGACCATCCCTGTCTGTCCAAGGAGGAACTGGACAGGATACTAGAGGTATGCTGTGTTTAAATGGATAAGGGTGTTAACGCAAGAGGAGCTCCAGCTGGTTTTTGATACCAAACCTCTCAGGAATGAGGTTCTGGTCCAGGGTTCATCAGTGGTGGGTCAACACACCCTCTCAGGGCAAGCCTCAAGGCCTGAATTCTAGCTGAAGTTAGTCCTATCTCCGGAATGATACTTCTTTTGTTACCTGCTGCTGATGGAAAAAGTTCCCCTGAATCTTTTGTCCTCGTGCTGAAGGGCTGCAGAGGAGCGGTCTGAACCTCCGCTTTCCCTCCAGGGTTCAGATCTGTGCCGTTGACCCCTCCCGGGTCTGGCTGCCAGCGTTGAATCAACACGATTCCTGCAGGTTTTTTGCCCCATGCATGACTCTCTGTTTGTTTTTGCTCTGATGTCAGAGCTCTTCCACCTTGATTCTTCAGGATGTTTGAAAGTGACAGGAATTTGGAGTTTTCCACAGTTTGACGTCACAGGGTTTGTGTGACCCGAGACGTGCCCCGACCTGTACCCCTGGTTCCAGAATTAGGGAGGTTCATTTCCCCATCCCCCCCTTCTGCCTCTCCTCTTTGTGTTTGGGGGGACTGGAAAAGGGAAACTTGCCCAGAACCTCCCCCAACACCTGCTGCCTAATCCATTTAGTCCGATTTCAGAAATCTCCCAGTTTGGTTTTCTGTAGATCACCTGCAGCGGGGTTTCTGTGAAGCTGTGAGACTGGGACGTCCTGCTATCGTGTCCCCTCTTGGGGACAAAGACGATATTAAGCCATCTGTTCAGTTTTCATCCCACTTACAAAGGATCCTCTGGAGTTGCCTGTTGAGCATCCCATCCTTTGTGCCCGCTCCACAGCGGGTTGGACCAGTGTTGGTGAATGGAGAGGGGAAAACACCTGCTGCAGATGAGTTGGAGCTGCTATAAATGAAACGGTTGCAAAATGAGTATCTGAAGGCAGGGTTTAGTTAGATTTCCATGGTGGAAACTTTCCCCCCTCCGCTGCAGCTTGTAAAGTCAGTCCTCGCTGTTTCATTAACGAGAAGTTTACTATTAACTCCAGGATCCTTGAAGTGGGCACAGTTCAGACTGGCTTTTATAGCCCGTCAAAGCGCTCGAAAGTAGCTTAAAGGTGGTGCTGAAAGGGTGAGGGGTTATCTCCTGCAGGTGAGGATTAAACACCTGGCTGTCCTGTTGTGTTTGTTTTTTCTAGTAAAGCTGCAGGTGCACACAAGCATGAAGAAGTTTACTGAATGATGCGGCGCTTCAGTAAACCTAAAGGAAGCATGAGCAGCAGGGATGTGGTTCTGATTGGTCACTTTGAATGTTGCGCCGCCTTCATGGAAACCATCAAAAATCCTCATCGTCGCCAAAGTAGATGGAAAAAGATGTCGGTGAGATGTTTGCAAATCAGCATCTGAGCCAGTTCAGAGAAACGTGGCGATGCGTCCGTTTTCTCGTTCTTCCTGCTTTTGCTGATGAGCTGCAGGAGATTCTCATCAGCTGTTTTATGCAAGGTGGCAAAAGTGGTTTTCACATGACTTGTTTCCGGCGTCAGAGGTTTAAAACCACGCGTGACCTCCACCTTCCTCTTAAAAAGGACAAATGGATGAAGTGAAACCTTTTCTGAGGAAGATGTGGGTTTTTCCTCGTGACCCATCTGCTGTTTCTGACCCGTAATGGTCACGTCTTTCTCTAACAAATGAAATCAGAGCGTTTAGTTTGAAGGAGCGCTTCTTCGCTGCTGAGATTTTATGGCGTACCCACAGGGATTCAAGTGTTTTACAGCTGCAAACATCCTCAGATCCTTCAGATCCGTATAAGATCTTTCTTTTATTAGTTACATAAATGTTAATTAGCATAAATGAAAGAACAGAAACAAGTTGCACCGTTAAGTAAAACGGCCTCTTTAACACAACGCCGAGTTTTCCCTTTTATGCTAACAATTAAAACAAAATGAAGTCATTCCACACAGAGGCTTTAATTCCTGGTGACTCGGAGGAGGCGAGGCCACGTGACGCCGTCTGTCTGTAACTCGGTGGCGCGGACTGTTGCTGGAGTGGAAAAGTACCACGAGGCCGGAGCAGCTGCGTTGATAACGTCCGTTTGTCGCTGTGGTTTTGTTTAGCTGTTCTTTCTGATATCTCAGCGAGGCACATGCTCACGCCAACATCAGCCAAAGTTTGAGTCGTGCTCCCGTTTGGTCGTGTCCAATAAAAAGGGCCCTTTCATAGTAATGAGATTACTCTACCCGTCCAGTTCTGTGTAACTGGTGCAGCACAGCTGACACATTCACTAATGTTCTTGTTAGTTATTCACTTGTGATTTGTCCAGAGGAACAGCTGGCTTGGACCTGAGCATGCACATCTCATTGTTTTCAGGCAGCCACGACTTGACCTCTGAATGACCTTTCTGTCCTTTATTTTGACTTTTGCATTACGGAGCTTTTCATCCGTGGAGAGAAACTCTTCCCTTCTCCACCTTGTGCAGCGTAAAGTGGGCTCAGCGGTACCAACACGTCCTTTAGAGAGCAAACGAGCTCCCGCGTGTCGTGTGATTTCAGATTGGGTCGATTTTCAGCATTTTTCTAATCAGGCAGACAAATTGAAGACGTTCACGTACCCTTATTGGGCTAAAGCTGCCGAGCTAAACGTGCAAAGACCCCACATGCAAAACCTGACACATCTGTTTTTTGAATAGCAAAAGGAAACGTCACGCATCTCACATTTCTGAGGTTAAACGTCAAATTAGTCCCAGCAGAGGAGTCGATGAATCATGGATTTGTCATTTTTAGTTTGTCTTCGACAGAGCTGCGCAGAAATTAGAGTTCTGAGTTGCAGCTCTTAAATCATGAGCTGCAACAAAAAAGCTTAGTGTCGCGTTGAATGAAGTACATGCAAAAATAACATTTATGCATGTAAACACACACAAAAATAACATTTATGCATGTAAACACACACAAAAATAACATTAATGCATGTAAACACACACAAAAATAACATTAATGCATGTAAACACACGCAAAAATAACATCAATGCATGTAAACACACGCAAAAATAACATCAATGCATGTAAACACACGCAAAAATAACATTAATGCATGTAAACACACACAAAAATAACATTTATGCATGTAAACACACGCAAAAATAACATTAATGCATGTAAACACACACAAAAATAACATTTATGCATGTAAACACACGCAAAAATAAAATTTATGCATGTAAATACACGCAAAAATAACATTAATGCATGTAAACACACGCAAAAATAACATTAATGCATGTAAACACACGCAAAAATAACATTTATGCATGTAAACACACGCAAAAATAACATTTATGCATGTAAACACACGCAAAAATAACATTTATGCATGTAAACACACGCAAAAATAACATTAATGCATGTAAACACACGCAAAAATAACATTAATGCTTGTAAACACACTCAAAAATAACATTTATGCATGTAAACACACGCAAAAATAACATTTATGCATGTAAACATTTAAACTGTCTTCAGCGAGCTTCGTTGGGTTTTCATGGTGCAAACGGAAGAAATGAGTTGCATCAGGACTTTTGCACAGCTCAGTAAACACAGCTGTTTAAGCGTAAACGCTGAAGTGAGGGGTGGGTGTTGCATGCTTCGTGGGGATTTTTTTTTTACTATTCATCCAAAAAAAAGAATAAAAGGTCGGGGTTCCGGTTTTCTGTTGTAAAATGTTGAATTCTGCCAACATTAATATAACTTCTGTCCAAAAATAAGATTTTCGCCTGATTACCAACAGCAATGTTAAGCAAACATGAACGCAATCATCACTGGTGTTGACACCCCCCCCCCCACCCCCACCCCAATAGTCCAACCAAGGAGAGTTTTATTCTTCTTGCAGAAGAACGGCCTCCCTGAGTTTGGTAATTACAGAGCTGAACTGTCGCCGGACCTGTTATTATTAAAGAACTAAGCATCTTCCAGGATTGCAGGGCTTACGTTGTGCCAATGTCTGCACGTTTCCTCACGCTGGAGAAAGCATGCTGGGGGTGAAGCATTGTCCCGGCCGGCTGTGGCCATTCTCAGGAGACTGAAGTCGTGTGTTGTTGTGGCCGCTGAAGCACGTGTGTGTTTGGGAACGATGGATGAGCACTTTTTGTCTCATTCTTTGAATTTCAGCACCAAAACCCCCCCTGGAGATGAACTAGGAGCTTTTTCTTCAGCCTGAGTGAAACTTTGGATGGAACTTCAGGTGGGGAACCTCTCGGCACGCGTCGTTAGGAAACTGCTGTTTAGGGATGCAGCAGCAGCAGGTTTCCTGTTTCTCTGACAAAATCAGCTGCGACGGGAGCTAAAAGGCGCCTCTGGTTAAACGTTTCAGGTCATTAGCTGGTCTGTCACAGGAAGGATGTGGTGAATGACATGAAGCTTACAGATGACACACTTCCTGCCCAGTCTGAATATTTCCTTCCAGTTTATTCACAAAGTGCCACTAAGATTCGTCCCAGACTGAGTTGTCTCTTTTTGTTCAGGTGGTGTCCGACGCTGCAGGCCAAGGCGTTACCATAACGGGCAGGAAGACGTTTAACAACTGGAACTGGCCAAATGCCGTCATCTTTGCTGCTACAGTCATCACCACTATTGGTATGTGATGGCTTTAATGTCCTTTAACCCTCCCGCTGTCTTCATGGGTGGCAGGGGTGAGGTGGTGCCCACTCCTCACCCCTGCCACGTGGACCCAAGGGATAAACCATCAACCCTGCTCATTGGTCACCTTTCCTTGCGGGGTCACCCATGAAGACAGCGGGAGGGTTAAAACCTCTCTAAAGGATCAAGCTTTCTTTGTTTCAGACATTCTTTGCTGTGCAGGAACTTGTGTGTGTTTCCATGTTTAGGCCAGAATTCCCGCTGCTTTCCAGCCTTGCACTCATGTTTTTATTCCATGTTAAGTCACCAGTTTAAGCAAGCTTCAATATTCCATCCAACGTTCCCAAATGTTCACCAACAGCCAAGTCTAAGCTGTTCTCAAAGTCGGAGTTTGTTTTTGCCCAAATCTGAAATTTAACTTTCATTCAGTTGAGTTTGAACAGTTGTTTCAACCGTTTTTGTCTGTTTGTCCATTTTTACAGGATATGGGAACATCGCCCCCAAAACGCCCTCCGGCCGAGTGTTTTGCATCTTCTACGGGCTGTTTGGAGTGCCGTTGTGTTTCACCTGGATCAGTGAGCTCGGGAAGTTCTTTGGCGGCAGAGCCAAGCACCTGGGCCAGTATTTAACCAGAAAGGGATTTTCGCTGGTGTGTTCATACTTCTGCTTTTCCTACAGTTTGGGGCATTTCTTTGAGTTGCTCATTTCCAAATCCATGTTTTCTCTTTTTCCAGAGGAAAGCTCAGTTTACCTGCACGGCCATCTTTCTTCTCTGGGGTGTGCTGGTCCATCTGGTCCTTCCACCTTTCGTGTTTATGTCCCAGGAGGGGTGGACATACATTGAAGGGTTGTATTTCTCATTTGTCACCTTGACCACTATTGGTTTTGGGGACTTGGTGGCAGGTAAGATGTGAAGAAATAAAACACTACTTTATACCCTTTAACTGAACTTCAGACTCCGAAGTTTGACACTTTCCTCGTTCCTGCAGGAGTGGAACCGACTAAAGAGTATCCGACGCTGTATCGTTATTTCGTGGAAGTGTGGATTTATCTGGGTCTGGCCTGGCTCTCGTTGTTCTTCAACTGGAAAGTACGGATGGTCATCGAAGCCCACAAGGCCTTGAAGAAACGACGCAAGCTTCGGAAGCTCTCCCTGGAAGAGATGCGGCACTACAAGGAGTCTCACAAAGCTTCCCCTCGTTTGCCGCCCTCTCCCGAAGATCTCAACATCTTTAGCTTCATGTCCAAGAAGCAGGAGGGCTACAACGACTTAATAAAGCAGATTGGCAACGCCGGAACAAACGGCACCGCTGGCAGCGCCAACAAGAAGATGAAAGACATTGGCCGTTCTCAGAGTTGCACCGACGCGCCGATGTTTAACGGTCACACCATCCTCCGCCTGGACCGCTCGCCTCGCCAAAAGAGGCGCTACAGCTTCAGCGATCGCGTCACGGTGGCCTTTTCAAAGTCTAAGAACTACCTTCTTGGTTCTGACAATGGCTTGCTGCTAACAGAGGGCCACATGGAGGGTGACCCAGAGCTGGACAAAGACCAGCTGTATGAGAACCAGCTGGATAAGGACATGGATGTGGAGAACAGAGGAGGCGGAGACTGTGGAGCAGGAAGTCTGAGGACGTGGGACTCTAAAGAGTACCACCCTCTGTCGATCCAAAACGCAAACATTACTTTTATTGATGAGGAAAACTTCCTCAGCAATAACTTAGAGGAGCTGGAAGAAGATGGCAGCGATGATGATGATGATGATGAAGGCGATGGTGATGATGATGACTCTAAAGCAAAAATCTCCATCATGACTTGTGATGAAAACATGGAGGCAAACATTAAGGAGGATCGGACTTCTGAATCAGAAGGATCCGTCTTCACCAGTGACGGTTCGGCTCCCAGCCACTCCTACGAGGAACTGGTGGAGGAATACGCGAAGGAAGACAACACGGATGCTTGAGCCTCACCTGTTTCATGTCCCAACAGTTCACTGGTCCTGTAGCATTCACCACTTCATAGGATAGGAGTCTGCCAAGCTAAAGTCGAACTTAAACCGCTGATCTGTGAAAATCTGTGGAAGAAATGAACTTCCTGTAAGCTCGTGATCAAATCTTTAAGATCTCTGCACACGGACTAGAGAGCACCGCCTGTAGCCCTAGCAGTATTTAACAGCTGCTCTCCTTGATTCTCTTTATTTTTATACGAAATCAAAGCCTCGCATGTTTTATCGTAACGTTGTCCATGAGTGATTTCTGTTCCTTCTTAAGGGCTGAAACTTTATGTGGAAATGTGCTCGAGTTCCCGTAGTTTCAACGATTGCTGTTCACCATATTGGTGTTTTAACGATATTTATTATGAAGGACGTGGTAGCTTCTGTTGGGCTGCTACGTGGATTTACGTGTCTGTCGTTGCACACATCAGTCAGACGAGGGTAAATCAAAGTCCACTCCGGATTTGACCGTCCCTCCGTGACCTGAGCCGACCATGTGTCTTAAAGACAACGGAGTGAAACACCAGCGCTCCTGTTGTTCCGCTTATTTTACTAGAACCTTCTCGGAACCACCTCTGTTGACGTTATGAGCGACCGAAACGATGACTTCTTGATTTTCAGTGTTTCCAGACTTCCTGTCATCTTTGTTTTCTACCTAACAGAGTTGGCGGTTAAAAAAAATCTAAAAAAGGAGAGATGACTCTTGACTTTTGCACACTTTTAGGAGATGCCTCTTTGAAAATTCTCATGCATTTGTGTTTTGTTACTGTCCGCGAGCCGGTTGACAGCTCTGAAGCTTCAGCTCTTGTGATTTTGGGGCTTAAATGGGGATGGAACCTTAACAGCAGCGACGTTTCTCGCCTTCTGGCCGTGTAGCACTCTTTCTCTTGATTGTATTTGCCGTGTAAACGTTGGTGGAGAGCCCGCCGGGAGCCACAGACCCAGCTGTGCTCGGGACATGACCTCGCTGCTCATGTTTGCTTTTGGGGGGCTCGCACTGACGTGGATGAATGAAGCGCCGCCGCAAAGGTTACGTCGTGGCAGATCGATGCTCGCTTGACGTATGTTTGAGCCATCCGACCAAGTCATTTGTAATGGTGCTAGCACCTCTTTTCAGTTTTTAGACGAACGAAAAGTCCCCCAAAAAATAGTTTTCCACATCACTTTTGAAATCATTCACCTTTTGCACGTAGCTTCTTGCACACAGATCCAGAATGGTGCTGCTCGGGGTGATTAAGCAACACGAAGGGCTACTTTCAATTGTTGTTCTAGCCAAGTTTTTTAGTGCTAAAAACTTTCTAAAAAATGTTGTTTTTTTAACTCTGTGCACGTTGTGACTGCAGCTTCTGCCTTACTGTTGGAGGAAGAGCCTTATCCACTGCAAAGCGGACGCCCACTACCGTTCTGCTGAATGTACTCTCACAGAGGTCTTTTAATGTTTTTTTTTTTTACACCTGGGGTTTTTCCATTTCCCGCTCTGTTCTCTTTCATCACTGGTGCACTTTGGCTTGTGAGCCTTTCTTTCACCAGTTCTTTAGCAAGTAAAGGTACTTATCTGGGCTACATTTCTGAACCAGAACACGTTCGACTGGTTTGTTTATCCACCATGAGAAAACTCCCAACATTCATGTTTTATATGATTAAATTATTTGTATGTTGAACGTTTGAATGTGAATTGTGTATTTCTTGTAAAATAAACAATTAGTAAATAGTTGGGTGATTATTTCAGCATCAACGGCGAGAAATCAACGTTCGTGCAAAGTTTAGCCAGAAAACCTGCGTGCACCTGCAAATCCAGGGTCTCATTCTGGATTTAATCCTCATTTCTGCAGAAGGTTTGATTATAAATAAAAAATCAATTTCTCTCTGTGTCTGTAAAACAGGAGGAAGACAATTGTATCATTTAATGCACTACCACTAGCTCATTCAAGTGGGAGAGTGGCCCACGTCTGGTCCTGGTTGTGGTGTTTGCACAGAGACGAGCTGCGGTTTGGTTGTCTTCAAGCCGTGACCTTCAGTGTGCACCGGAGCAGTTATGTGCAGGGATGAAGGTTAGCTCTTCCAACTTTGAAGCCATGGTTTTTGACTGGGAAAAGGCTTTTTCTGGATTTGAGGAGTTGATGCATGTTGGTACGATGTCCACAAAGAACAGAAGGATGAGGGGAGAGAGAGGAACCGACTGGTTGGAGCTTTGTCTGCAGCAGCGAGGGTGTTGCTCCCATCGTTGAGAAGCACAAAGACAAAGCTGCCGGTTGTCCGCTTGCATCTCGGTCGGGAAAGATCTTACAATAGTTTTGCATTAATAACCTAAAATTTCATGCTACAGAAAGCAGTTTCCACATCTTCTAAAGGCGCTGACTAACCCGTAAAGCAGCCTGCAGCCACTTCTTTGAGACATTCCCAGAGCAGCTGTGCTGATGTTTACTCATGCCCTTCGGTCAGTTTCATCTGGATGATCTCGGATTATCCTGACTCATTTCTGCACAGCCTTGATGCGTAATTCAGATCTTCTGCAGCCTCTACATCCAGACTGTCGGGTTGAGGAAAGTGACTCTGCAGAAATACATGTGTCCTGTCTTGGAATGCTCTTGTGGATGAAAGTTAGCCTGCAGCAAGACAAGCAGGAACCCGTCCGCCCTCGTGTCACAGCGGGGTAAGGAAGACGAGTCGTGCTTTTGAACAACAAACAACAAAACGCCGTCCTGAACTTTGTGCTCAGGCCATTATTTTCCCACCATCTTGAACCAGAATGCTATTTGATGTCATGGAATATTTTTTATCAGTTTTTGGATCTTGAGGTGATTTTTCAAAAAAGACATTTCCTGCTCTTGTTTAAAATTCCTGTCATATTTTTATTAAATGAACAGAAATGCAGCACAACAACACCTCTTAACCAGACCCAGTTTGAAAGAAACCTTAAAAATTCCCGTGAGTTCTTCCTGCAGCACGACCGGAAAAAACAAATCCCAACAACTTGAACTGCATGCAGGGTTGAATATTTTTCAAGTAAAAAGTAAGTACATTTTATTCGTATAGCACATATCACAGACATGGATCAAAACAAAATTAAACCGTCATAAAATCATAATGATCTCTAACCAATCAGAAAAAAATAAGTCATAAAATCATAAAATTTCATAAACAGGTGAAAGATTAAACATTTGAGTTAAAAATAAGAAAATAAAAGGTTTAGGTAGACGCAGCTTTAAATAAAAAGGTCTTCAGCTGTTTAAAGTGTCCAGACTGTCAACGCTGCGTACGGATTAAGGAAGATCATTCCAGAGTCTGGAAGGAGCGATCACCTCCACTTTTGTATCTGGTCTTTGGAACTTCTAGAAGGTTCTGGTGGGTGGACCTGAGGGCTCGGGTTGGAGCAGAAGGTCAGTAATATAGGGAGGAGCTTGACCATGCAGAGCCCTGAAAGTTCTAGTCAGGACTCTAAAATGAACTCTAAAGTTAACGGGTAACCAGTGCAGAGACTCCAGAACAGGAGCGATGTGAGCTCTTCTGTTTGCTCCAGTTAGGAGCCTCGCTGCAGAGTTCTGGACCAGCTGAAGGCGGTCAAGGGCTTTTTGTTAGAACATGTGAAGAGTGTGTTACAGCAATCTAGACGGGAGGAGATAACGGCATGGAGAACCATTTCAGGTTCATGTTTGGACACCAACCTTCACAGTTTGGACATATTACTTAAGAGATAAAAACAGTTTGGGACCAACGTTGTTGCCTTCAAGAGACACTGATTGGTTAAAAATAACACCCAAATTCCTCAAGTTTGTCTTGACGGGAGAAGATAAACGACCGAGTTTTAGACCAATCAGGGAGGGGAAAACTCCATTTATAACATTTGAAATGCAGTTTCTAACAAGGAAGCTCTTCTCCTTGACAGAGGTGTGTTCGCTTCAGGTAGCACGAACCTCCATAAAACCTTTTAAAGAAGCTTATCAGACCGTCTTATCTGCCTTCATGGTTAAGAGGCAATGTTATTGCTGCTCATCATCAGTTACACGTTAAATCGTTGGGTCAAAGGTCAAAGTTCAGTTCCAGAATAACTTTGCCTGCATCACAACGTTAACTTTACAGCACAGCGTGTCTGAATGTTTTTAGAGAGCTACATCAGATATCCGACGTGTGGCCGGTCTGGATTTGCTAGTGACAAATCTAAATAACGTATTACGTAACACGAGAACTTTTTTCTGAGAAAATCTGCTGCTGCTGGTTAGCTTTGAGCTTTTTCACACAAAACAGGTGTTAGATGAAGGAAAGTACAATTAATAATCTGTTCAGCTTCCTGACCCGCTTGGTTAGTGATACTCATGCAGAAGAATCATGGATCAGTAGACAGTTATTTTTAATCAGTCTGGTACAAAACAAAAATATAAAAATAGCTAAACAATTATACTTTTATATTTTGTACTTAATATTAATGCTTTTATTTGAATAGATCTGACATAAAATTGACATAAATGATATTAAAGCTGACATTTCCTACTGCTTTACCTTTCTGAGAGCCTTTGTCCTCGTGCAGGAACTCGTGATTACCGACGAAGTCTGCAGAAAGGCAGAAAATGTGCTGAGTCTGGTGGAAACCGGGACGTCTCCTGTTACTGTGGGATTCTAGACACACTCATCTACAATCTTCAGGTTCCTCGGCCATCATCAGGATCCAGAGAAATCACAAAACACTGTTTTATTTAAACAACAATGCTGACATGTTGTCCGTTTTCTGAAAATATGTGAAGTTTGACTCCGTTTTGCTGCCTGCAGGCTGTTGGTTTTGCATCAGGTGTCAGGATCTTTACATCATCACTCGTTAGTGAGTCTGTGTGGCAGCGGCACGAGCATCATTTGAGTATTAGTGAACGACTCTTGTGTGAAGAAAGTAGGTGAATTTCAGATCAGCAGATGGCTCTTAGCTTGACTTCCTGATTCTTCAGAGATTGCTCTGTTGCTGCCTGCTGCAGGTAAGATGCTGAGCGCTCACCCAAGCAGCTGCAATTCAACAGGACTAGGACTCTAGAAGGCGCTGTAACAAATACAGGCCATTTACCATTTATGCCAAGTTCATGCAGTTTGTGCAAAAGATTTAACTCAAAAACGAAGATTTAAACGTCAAATAATTAAGAATTTTGCATTGGAAAGATCACAAAACACTCCACTGCAGGGGGAGGTTTTAGTTGTGTCCCTGCTCCAACACACCTGGCGTTAATCAGTAGGTGATTAATGTGAGTCTGCCAAGCTTGATGAGATGATAAAAAGGTGGTTAAATCATCAAATCAGGTGTGATGGTGCAGGGAAACAACTAAAACATGCTGGATAGTGGCCCTCCAGGACCACCGTTGCTGATAACAGCTCCACCTTGCTGCAAAGCAGCGGCAGCATCAGGGAGCCTTCGGTCATTCGTTGTGGTTGGCCCTCAGCAGTAATGTGATGCAATAATGTGTTTTGCATTGGTCGGATAAATGTTGGATTATCATCTTTTTTTTGTGGTAATTCTGAGTTTAAATGTTTTCAAAGAGAGATAAATGTAAAACAAGGAAGCTAAAAAGCAAAAATCTGTCATCAGAACATTTGGACAGCTTCCCTCGTAAAATCAGGTGCATAAAAGCTGCAGAAAACCCCGTAGAGCATCAAATTAGGCTGTGATTTGTTGTTCCACACAAGTCTCCTCATGAGTAAAAGCAGGTATGCTGAGACTCTAAAGTTACTCTTGGGAATTGTTTCTTGGAAGCACCTGGAATCACATTTTCTGATGAAATTCTGTCAGCTTCAAACCAGAAAGAGCTGGAAGAAGTCAGCTGACAAAACTGGTTTAAAAGCATTTATGACACGTGAACAAAAGACAGAAGATTTACTTTATTTATGAAGGTTTCTCTTTGCAAGTTTGAATCAAACAAGATAAGAAAGAGTTTCAGCTAAAAGGAATTCCTTATCGGTGCTGACGTCTCTCTACGGGACTTTAATGTCTGAAACCCTCCTTATTTAGAAATAATTGGCTTTTTTAGGAGTGATTTCTCTTTGGAGGAACTCAGAGATGCTTTTGCTTTTGGCCGTTAGAGCCTCGCACTCATTCTGCACCAACAGGTGAAGCATAATCATGGAGTCCCATTCGTTTCCTGGCGTTTCTCACGTTTCACCGTGTCGGCGGCAACCGTCTGCACGCAGCTCAGCTTTTCTTAAAGACGCGCACCCAAGACCAGAGCTTGAACTTCACTGTGTTTCTGCAGAAGCTCAAACGGGTTATTCATTAATGAACGCATTCATTATGTGTGCCGAACAGTTCAGAGGAAAAGATTTGATTTGTCATAAAAAGCAGCTCTCTGTGACCTTTGAACCCAACCTCCTCTTCACTGCAACTACTCAGGAAATGTCACGGAGTTAAAGTGTAAAAAAAAAAATTTTAAACATTTGATTGTGTGCAAATTAAAAAGCACGAGAGCCGAGAAATCGGCGTATTCAGCTGGAAGGAGGCATAAGTGGGGAAATTAACCCTCGGTGTGATGAGCTGCTGAAATTTTACACAGTCCTGTTGAATGGCGGCGCGAAGCCAGCAGAAACCAACCAAAGCTGTAGTCACATGAGACGAGAGGAAAATGCTCTTTGACTTTTTGACGTTTATTCTGAAACTCGACGTTGGTCTGAGTGAGCTGCAGGCTCTTCTCAGCGTGAGAACGTTTCTGACGTTCACCTGGACCTCAGGAGGACGCTTCAAGTCTCCAGCCAACTCAGAATCCATTCTTTAAATAGAATTCATAACATTTGAGTTCACTTGGTCTGGAATGGCGTCTCTAATCTTTGTCCTAAAAGCTGCAAATAAAAATAAAAGCCAGGGTCTTTCAACTCCGGGTGTTTGAATGGATCAAGGCCATCCCGCTTTGTGCACCGGCACTGCGTCCGTCCTGAGGAGGAGCATGACAGCAAAGGAAGAGCCTGGGGGAGCCAGATGGAGACGTGTTGCTGCAGGCGCAGCAGCAGCCCAGTTAGCAGCTAGCCTGGCCCGCCAGACTCATCCTCTGTTTAATCCTGCACAGAGAAAGAGTCTGGTAACTCACAGGCGGAGCGGCACATGAGGGGCGGGACTAGCAGCTTAAAAATAACCAATCAGAAAAAAGACGGAAACACGACGCTGTAGTTTTTTAGCTGTAGCAATACTAATTTTTTTTAGAAGAAAGGCTTTTAGCGCTTCTACTTGTGGTTTTAAAGACATTCAAGTCATTTAGACCAGAGGAAAGAGCCGCAGCGAACTCCGCTTCCGTCGCCATGTTCGACAGGCTCGGCGTTGTGGTGTGTGATATATGCTGCTCAGAGCTGATTGGCTCGGTTAAAATTCTCAGGGGGCGGGGTTATTTGAATAGGAGCGTTGCCAGACCCTTTCTCTGTGCAGAATCAAACAGAGGAGGAGTCTGGCGGGCCGGGCTAGAAAGCAGCAGCCCAGGGAGGGAAATCACGACCATCCAAAGGACCTCCATGACACCCGATTGTTTCCCGAGTTTCTGTGTCCGGCCTTCCGGACCGGAAACTTTTGGGCAGCCCCTGGGGATGGTTTTCTATTTGTGCGGTCGTGTGTGTGTGTGTGTGTGTGTGTGTGTGTGTGTGTGTGTGTGTGTGTGTGTGTGTGTGTGTGTGTGTGTGTGTGTGTGTGTGTGTGTGTGTGTGTGTGTGTGTGTGTATGCTGGCAGATTGCCCACTGCTGTTTTAAAAGGATAGGAAGGAAAGACGTAGAGCGGTGTTTAACAGTACCACCAGCAGCAGCAGCTGCAGCTGTGTTATGTTCTCAGCCTAACACTGACCTTTGACCCCACATGACTCCATCTCAATAGATTCTTCTTGAGGTTAACAAAATAAAAGTCCACAACAATGATTGTTTTTATGAGTAGAAACCCCTTAATCATTGTGAATAAATAAAGAACCCGGTTGAAACAAACAGCAAGGGTATCGCGTTTGCAGCAGACCTAAACAGCTGGCACAGAGAATTAGCCAAAACTGAGTTTGTTGGTTAAGTTTTAACACTATCTGCTGTGTTTGAATAGACTTTTAGAAGGTTATAATGATAAAATGATTTCTTTTGTTCATTTTACGCTCTTTATTTGTATAATTTTAAGGTTTTATTATGTAATGCAATATTTCTAAGACAGTTCACACGGCAGGATTTTTAAGAATTGTCGTAAGATTTTGAATACGTCATGATCAAACAATCCGGATGTAAAAGTTTTGGTCTTGCGGTGTGTGTTGTCCGCACATCAGAGATTACACACGGCCCATTTTCTCTCACAAACATTCCCACGTCAGAAGGAAATATCCAGCATATTTATCACTAAATAAACACATATTTAGTGGTTGTGACTCATGCTAAAAAATGCACTCGGGATTTTGGAAACGGGTTTTGCCTTTGAGGGCTGCGCACTAAAGAGATCTTCTTCTACCTTCAACTTTTTCCCACTTTGTTTTGAAATGAAACACCAGTAAAATATCACTAAAGGAAAGGAAGTTGCATTAATTTCTGATTCTGGGAAATCTCAATGCATGAAAATAAGAAGAAATTAAAGTACAGATCTGGTGTTTTCTATCTTGCTGATTTTAAATGTACACAAAACGAATCTTTTATTGAAAATGGAATGACGCTTTTGAGAGACACTCCCCTAAAAAGATAATTATGTGAAGTTAAGGGATTATTGTTACTTAAATAATGTCTTCCCCATCTTTTCTCCCAGACCATCTTCAGCAGCCGTTTCAGAGACACAGTGGAAACACAAACAACCACGGCTGAAGCCATTACCTGTTTCCTTTACTAAAAAGCCCCAGGGACAAAGCGTTGGCCGGTGTTTTCAGCCAAGAAGAATAACAGAGTTATTATTATAACTTTCCGCCTAGATCTTCTCATATTTTATGAAATAAAAAAATATTCTTACAGTTTTTAAAAGTGCAATCTGGGATCACTCAGATAAAATGATTGATGGCACATGTTTTAAAAAATCAAACTAGTACAACTGTTAGAACCTGCTGGGTGCATCTTTTTCTTTTAAATAATCTCAGAGGACTATTTGTTTTTATTTTATCAGAGTGTGTTTTTTATTGCTATTACTAATTTTACATAAATCCTGCAAATCTAAATCCAACACAACCGATATAATATCATAGATGAGTGTGATTTAACTTCTAGAAAGCAAGCTGAATGTTTAGCATGTCATACAAATGCAACCCAAGTCTTTAATGACAAAAAAAAGCTCTAAACGTTACAAAAAATGTTGCTTTGGCGCCCTCTAGCAAAAAAGTTAGGTCATTGCATTTTTATGAAAGCATGAAAACGTGTCGATTAAATTTATCATTTATATTATATTTTATTTTATGTATTTGTTTGTTATTTGAGTGTTTATTACTAAATAAATCCGTCTTCTTTGTACACAGGAACTGCTTTTATTTTGACGTTTTGCACGCAGCTCTAACCCGGAAGCACAAAAGTGTTATTATGCTAATGTGTCAACACATTGGGGTGGAAACTATAGGTTAGACAGAGAAAGCCTAGAGGATATGCATTGATGTTTGTGTAGTTCGTTGCAGAAGATCAGTAGGAAGTTTGGGTTTTTGTGAGGAAGTTGACAAAAAGTCGCAAAGGACGAGAAAACGAAGCGAAGCTGCGTGGGTTCTGTACTGTTAGCAAAGAAAGCTAACTGGCTGTTTCCACTTCTTGGCTCCTGACTGGGCAGAGGGATGTCCTGCAGCTTGTTTGAGTTTTGTAGGATCCAAGAACTCAGGACGGTTCGGGACTTCTTGTTTCAGACCCAAACAGCAGGACCGGCTGCGGAGCAGAATCAAACAGGTACTTACTGGTGCTAGATGATGAAGGAGCAGGATCCAAGCAGTGGAGTTAGCCACCTCTGGGAGTAGAAGCTGACAGTAAATACAGCAAACAAAACACGATTTGATGTAAATAGAATAAAAATAAACAAAAAGGGTTGTTTTCTGATCAGGTCTCATTTCAGACCCTGATGCAGTTTGTGGTGAGAAGGATTGAGATGTCTGCTATGGGAGGGTTCAGAGGTTCAGGGTGTTGTTTCTTTATTAATGATGGCTAGAAATTCATTGTTGGAGCTTTTTCCTGTATGCAACACTAGAAGATCCATGAAGGGAAGAGAGGGTGTTTCTTGTTTGCCACCACCACCCGTCTCTTATTATGAACACATGAACTAACCAAAAGCAAGCACTTACAGCATCCATTATTACTATTTTAAACCTTTATCTTCTTATATATCTTGTGGAAATCTATTGATATTTCACCCAGAGTTAATGTTTTGTGATGAAGCATCAGATCACAGAGGGGAAACGCCCAGCACATCCTAAAAATCTTCACTCACCTATAGACATGTGGTGCAATAGGAAAAAATGGGTCAATAGAAAATTCAAGATGAGGATCAGCACCTCCAAATCTGAGACCATGGTTCTCGACCGGAAAAGGGTGGCTTGCCAACTCCGGGTCGGAGGAGAGGTCCTACCTCAAGCGGAGGAGTTTAAGTATCTCGGGGTCTTGTTCACGAGTGAGGGTAGGAGGGATCGGGAGATCGACAGGCGGATCGGTTCGGCGTCTGCAGTGATGCGGACGCTGAGCCGATCTGTCGTGGTGAAGAGGGAGCTGAGCCAGAAAGCCAGGCTCTCGATTTACCGGTCGGTCTACGTCCCAATCCTCACCTATGGTCATGAGCTTTGGGTAATGACCGAAAGAACGAGATCGCGGATACAAGCGGCCGAAATGAGTTTCCTCCGTAGGGTGGCCGGGCTCAGCCTTAGAGATAGGGTGAGGAGCTCGGACATTCGGGAGGGACTCGGAGTAGAACCGCTGCTCCTCTGGATGGAAAGGAGTCAGTCGAGGTGGTTTGGGCATCTGGTCAGGATGCCTCCTGGACGCCTCCCTGGGGAGGTGTTTCGGGCATGTCCTGCCGGCAGGAGGCCCCCGGGTCCACCCAGGACACGTTGGAGAGGTTACATCTCCAATCTGGTCCGGGAACGCCTTGGGGTCCTGCCGTAGGAGCTGGTGGAGGTGGCTGGGGAGAGGACGGTCTGGAGCTCCCTAGTTGGGATGCTGCCCCCGCGACCCGGACCCGGGTAAGCGGAGGAAGACGACGACGTTTGCTTTCTTTTTTCATAATAGCTTAATACTAGAGTCGTTGCTATCTCCCAACCAATCAAAACACAGATCATGCTCCGCCACCAAGCCCTCCCCTCTCAAACCTAAACAGGCAGCAAGACCAGGAGAGGTGGAGGACATTGTCCCAGCAGAAGGTTTGAGTAGTTCACCAGCATGGCAGTAGTTAGATTTTTAACCATAAAGTAAAGTCGTTGAGTATTAAACCAAGTCTGAAAACACAAGCAGCTTTTTTTTGTAATAACGTGAAATTGCCAAGGCTGCACTTAAATATGTTTTCAAATTTTTTATAGTCATCAATAATTGTTGACATTGATCAGTATCCGTTTTGTTTATGGTCCAGCCCTGCGCTGTACCCTCTCTGGTGGCCGCTCCATGTGAACACGAGGACTCCCACACACCACTTTTTCCTGTTTGTTACATTTAGTTTGAGCTTTTGTTTCTGGCAGAAAACGAGCTGTCCTGGGACACCTCCGACTGGGAAGCAGCATGGGACGAGAAGAAAGAGGAAGGATCAGCTAGCGCCAAAACGGTTTCAGTCGTGCTTTTTTTTTTTTTTTTGCTTTTACTCTCAACAAAATTTAGCATCAGACTATTTTAAATATTCACATCTCCAGGAGTAATTTCCATGTTGTTCCAAAAGCTATGACGTGTCTCCTGTGCAGGTGGAGGAGGAGACCTCGGGTCAGAGTGAACCCTGGCTGCAGGACTGCGTCGTGTCCCTGTCGCCCTGCGCCGACCTGCTGGTTGTGGCTCGAGAGCAGAAGGCCGTCTTTCTCTCAGGTCGGATTTTCACACCAGCTCACGCATTTCCACCTTTTCCGTGTGGTCGTCTTTGAATCTGAATGTATTTTGGGTCGTTTCAGCCAAATGGTGCACGGACGGAAGTGGCCGAGAGGCGATGACGCTGGCCGTGTCCTGGACCGGAACCCTCAGCGCCGAAGAGGGGTGAGAAAACGATGCGAACGTGTGAACAGACAGCAGAGCCGTCGTAAAAACGGGATGCTTTCTTGATGCATTTTTTATTTTATTTTGGGTTTTAAAAGCCAAAATGCAGAAGAAACTCCAATTCTAATGTAAAAAAGACATTCATCACTACAAAAATGACCAAAAGTTTCAGTAAAACTCTTTTCCTTTTAGTACATCTTGGTGCAACATTTCATCCTGTCCTTAATGAATCATCCTGACTGCTTTTTCTCTCCAGGGAGTGTGTGAACAGCGTTATTGCCATCCCTCTGGCCAGCCAGAAGAGGTCAGGAAATGCTCTGCTTACTAAAGGTGTGTGTAGCAGTACTAAATGTTTAGAACCGCTTTGGTTTGGTGTGTGTAGGAGCTCCACTGGGCGGCCTGATTGGACCTGTGTGGTTGTGGGCTTCACGTCTGGCTATGTCCGCTTCTACACAGAGGTACAGTTCTTATTCTTGTTAACCACCTTTAACTAGTATCCCTAGCTTCGTGTCCCATTAACAACAACAGTGACATGGATTGTGTCACACCAGAACGGGGTTCTGCTCCTGGCCCAGTTGCTGCACCTGGACCCTGTACTGAGACTCAAATGCCGTACTTATGAGATTCCTCGCCACCCTGGAGTAACCGAGCAGGTAACGTGCAATTCACTGTTTGAATCAGCAAAGTTCTTAAAATGTTAAGATGTGTTTATCTTCTTCTGCAGCACGAGGAGCTCAGCATCCTGTACCCCGCTGCTCTGGTCACCATCGACGGCTTCAGCCTCTTCCAGTCGTTGCGCGCCTGCAGGAACCAGGTGGCCAGAGGTACTGCTGCCAGTTAGCACGAGCAATAACCGCAGATGGGTTCCAGCTGGAAATGCCCTACTGCGTTTGTCTTCTGCCAGCTGTAGCGTTTACTTCAAGACACTCAGGTCCAAGTGAGACAAAGACGTGCTGTACTAGTACCATTACTACCACACACACACACACACACACACACACACACACACACAGCGTTTAGAGTTCAGTCAGCAGGACTCTGTGTTTGAGCTTCTTTCCGCTCAAGTTTCAGATAATTCTGTAAGCTGTAGAAAGTCCGTCTCTAGAACTTTGCATCATGAGCCCGGAGTGAGACAAAAGTACTCGTGGAGGTTGTGATCTTGGTGTTCAATGAGCAGCGTTGGATCCTCCAAAGAGGCTCGAGTGCAGGCAGCTGGACTTCTTCAGCTGTCTTCATTCGAAGCCCTCTGGAAAGCCGTGGCGCTGGTGACCCAGTTGGATTCCTTACATTAGAAATAATATTGCTAGTTAAAAACGTGTGTGTGTGTGTGTGTGTGTGTGTGTGTGTGTGTGTGTGTGTGTGTGTGTGTGTGTGTGTGTGTGTGTGTGTTGCAGGGGTTAGACATATTATTTAAGTGTGTGATGTTGTCGTCGTCTTCCTCCGCTTATCCGGGTCCGGGTCGCGCGGGCAGCATCCCAACTAGGGAGCTCCAGACCGTCCTCTCCCCGGCCACCTCCACCAGCTCCTCCGGCAGGACCCCAAGGCGTTCCCGGACCAGATTGGAGATGTAACCTCTCCAACGTGTCCTGGGTCGACCCGGGGGCCTCCTGCCGGCAGGACATGCCCGAAACACCTCCCCAGGGAGGCGTCCAGGAGGCATCCTGACCAGATGCCCAAACCACCTCAACTGGCTCCTTTCCATCCAGAGGAGCAGCGGTTCTACTCCGAGTCCCTCCCGAATGTCTGAGCTCCTCACCCTATCTCTAAGGCTGAGCCCGGCCACCCTACGGAGGAAACTCATTTGGGCCGCTTGTATCCGCGAGTGTGTGACGGTTTCTAAAACACTAAAACTGATTATTTTACGTTTTACAGAAGAGAGAAGTTACTCGTTTTAGTAAATTAGCTACTGAGCCACCAGAGGGAGACATAGGGACACAAAGGTTCATCCCAACGTTGTTTGGTGAGCTCCTTCGTTTATTGAGCCAGATCCTTTGTTGGTTCTGGGAGATCCTAGCTTTGAATCGTGAGCGGGATCCCGACCTTGTTTTGTTTGATCCCGGGAGTCTTTTCTCTTTTCTTGGAGGGGTCTGCCTCTCTCAGCTGTGCTGGACGGCTCAACGGAGGCGATCACAGATATTGTGGCAACCTCAAAAAGTTACGAGTCACCTGAATCATTTCTAATAGTTCTATTGAATTTCACAAGCTAAAGCGGCCGTTTTCGTGCCACGTAAAGAAAAGTAAACACCTTAAAGTGTTGTAGTGAAGATTTTGTTGCGCTCTCTTTCCTCACAGCTGCAGCAGCTGGTAGTGATGTGGTTCCTCCTCCCCCTTTGGCCTACAAGAAGTGGGGGCTGCAGGAGATGGACGCCATTGTGGACCACAGCAGTGTGGGTAAGCCATTCTCCGCAGGAATCTCCACTGACTGGGCAGGTTTTATGTTCATGTTAAAGAGCAAGTCACCCCCAAATCAACTTATTTTTCTGATAAACTATATAAATGCGTGTCTAATTGTGCTGCAGACACGTGTCATCAATAGTTTTGCACTTTAGTGCATTTTAGTTAAAATTTTGTTTTTCTGCCTAAAACTGTCAGTGTTGAGCCGTCGTCAGGTAAAAACTCTGCACTGCATTTGAATTTAAATCTGCCATCGCTATTGGCTAAGAGGTACCCTAGAATGTTAGCTGGTACCATATGATGTCACAATGTCGTTGTGAGCCTGTGTGTGTGTATTTGTTAGTGGCTCCGCCCTCTCGGTCTGCTAGGCAACAGCATTTGTTGCATTTTTCAAACAGGAAGTGGGAGTGGATTAATAATCTGGCAGGGGGTGACTTGCTCTTTAAAGGCGTTTCCCCCTCTGCACCTAAAGACATTTGTTGCATTTTTCAAACAGGAAGTGGGAGCGGAGTAATACTCTGGTAGGGGGTGACTTGCTCTTTAAGCTGTGATTCTAAAATTTGTGTTGGAGAAGAAACAAAACAAAAACGTTGTATTAAAACATTTCTTTACAAACAAGCTGAAAATAGGCCCACTTTTTCATTAAAGATCATTGAAATGGTTGATGTGTAACGAAACAGCAGGAGAGATAATCAGGAAGTAGTCGAAGCCGCATGTCTACCGCTTCTGTTGGGTTGGTCCAACACCCAACGGTTTGGGCTAACGGCGTGTTTTCTGTGTGTAGGCGTTACAACGCTGTGTGTTTTTGACCAAATGAAAAACGCCTCCACCCTGGGAGGCTTCAGCGCCACGGTGAAAGGCAGCCCTCCCGCCATGAGCCAGTTTGTCACGGTGGGAGCCGGACCGTTCACGGGCTTCTACTACGCTGTGGAGGTCAGTGTGTTTCTGCTCCTAAACGCTGGAGTTTCGGCACAAACCCGCGGCAACGCCAGCACGTTCAGCCGTTTGGTGTGTTTCTAGGGCAGCTCCCAGCCTCTCCTGTCCCACGTGGCTCTGGCTGTGGCCAGTAAACTCACCTCTGCCCTCTTCAGTGCTGCCAGGTACGAAACCTGTTCTGTAGCAGGTAACCGTTACCTTTCACTCGTCGCACTCACTGTTTTTGTCTTAGTGGCTGGTTGGGTTGGAGCAAAAACAGAAATAAGAACGAAGAGGAAGCTGCTCAGAAACAGAAACCCAAAGTGGAGCCCGCAACCCCCTTAGGGATCAGGTGCGTCTCAGGCTGACTCCGCTCCTCCACAGGTGAGTCCCGGCGACGTCGCTAACAGGAAGTTCTCCTTCTTGCAGATTTGGTCTTCCGGACTCCCGGCGCCACGGAGAGTCCATATGTCTGTCTCCTTGCAACACGCTCGCTGGAGTGACGGATGACTTTGGTCGAGTGACGCTGTTGGACCTGGCCAGGGGCATCGCCATCCGCATGTGGAAAGGTACGAAGGAACGAGTTCGACCCCTAAAATCAAATGGAGAACTCTGAGTTGCACGTGCGTGCTGGACGTGAGGAGGGAACGGCGTCCTTCGTATCAGACAACGCCACCTCTGTTTACTAACTAGAGGAGGACGCCGCGGTCCTCTCCGTGTGTCTAGCCCCGCCCACGCGCTCAAAGCTCTCCATGTTCCCGAGAAGGCTGTGTGAACAAAACCCGGCCTCTTGCGGTGGGACCAACGCTACAAGGACCGGCCGGGAATGGGCCAGATGCGAAAGCGCCATTACTTCCTGACATTTGGACATCTCTCCTCTGATTGGCTAACAGCAACACGACTCTACCACTGACTCTGCTCTGCAGCTCAAGCCTGGAGGAGTTCTGCTGGGTGGTGGTGATGCTAATGCTACCCCCACTCCTCTAGCTAACTTCTAGCCCTTGAAACAGAAGCGCCAGAGCTTTTTTTTCCTCAGACAATGACTCACGAGGCGTTCGCTAACTCTGGAGACGGCGGTACATGTATCACAGGAATGAGACCTTTAAGGATTTTCTTTAATTACAGGTTACAGAGACGCCCAGCTGGGCTGGCTGCAGGTTCAGGAGGAGCGTGGTGATCGGGAGTTCTCCCCGTCTGCCTCCCTTCCCAGACGTCACGCTTTGTTCCTCATCATCTACGCTCCTCGCAGAGGAATCCTGGAAGTGTGGGCCATGCAGCGGGGCCCTCGGGTCGGCGCTTTCACCGTGGGCAAGCAGTGCAGGTATGCAGCGTGAGCATGAAGGAGCCAGTGCTTCATGTCTGTTTGACCAGAGTCAGAGATCAGATTCCTTTGGTGGTTTCTGCAGGTTGCTGTTTGCCGGCTACCGTCTGATGGGGGTGAACAGTGTGACCAGTCAGGGCTGGCAGCTCCACACGCAGCAGGTGTGTCTGCTGGATCCCACCACAGGAGCTCTGAGGAGCATCAACATTCCCTTCCACCTGGCTCTCAGGTTGGTACGGGCCAGAGTTGGAAATGATTCAAGACTCTGACTTTGGGACAAGATTTTGATATATTTCCAGTGATTTTGCTTTAAAGCAACGCTAAATACGTCCGCCCACTTCTCCCGCCTACTGGTTGAAAGCTGAGTTACAGCTGCAGCAGCAGCCCTGCTGTAGCTAGCGAGCTAACGCTAACACGAGTCAACTGATTCCAAAATAAGCCACGAAGTAAAAGGTACACATTATCACTTACACGTCCAGCAGCAACAAAGCCAGGTCACCATCGGTCCATGATTTTGTAGCCTCCTTTAGCTAACTCAATGTTCTTTCTGGTTTTAGCTCGTTACTTCGTTTCCAAAGACGTTACCCTCCTACTTTTACTCCCAGGCTTCGCTGTGATACCAACAAAAAACTCAGACTTCTTCTATTTCTTCTTCTTGTGCTTTTTATCGCTGGTTGGCAAACGAATAAAGCTGCCTGATGCTCTTTATACTAGCTACCTGCACCGTAAACAGCTATTACCGTAAAGCAGGCGGCGATCTCCTAGTAGTGTTCCTACCCACGCCACAAAACTGTTAGCCCGGTTTCACACTGGAAGCAGCGGAGCGGCTTCCTCGCTGTGCTCACGAGATCGCACGATCCCTCGACACTTCAGGCCGCGGTTTGTTTATTCAATCCGCCGTTAAACCAAAAAGGAGGAAATGTTGTTTTATGTCGCTGTTTGATGCCAGATATGATGATCCTCTCCACTGCCGGGATCAAAGCCGTGGAAAAAACACTGCTGCACTTCTGGAACGATGTTGTGAGCGAATGATCCTGGATATCGCCGCATCGCTGCTGGTTTGGAACGGTCCATAGACTATAATGGACTCTATGTGAAACGGTGACGTTCTGCTGAGGCGTTCAGTGTGAAACCGGGGTTGGGTCCACTTCCTGATCAGAAGAAGCGGTCCCGCGGGTAGGCGGTGAAGTTTCTGCCTCGGGAATGGCTGAAACCAGTTTGAAAGCTCTCTGCTGCGTTTGAGGACAAAACAGAAGTAGAGCTGAAATGTTGATGAAAATCCGCTTTTCTCCGTTTCAGTGACAAAAAAAACGAGCGGGCCAAGGACATGCACCTCTTAAAGAGGCTGACGGCTCTAGTGAAGAGCGGCGACGAGGATCCCGGTAACAGATCCGTAAAAGCTTAAAGGAATCACGGTGCAAGATTCCACTTTTCATTTTGTCTTCTCTGTTACAGAAACTTTGGAGAGTGAAGCAAAAAGCGTCCTGTTGGAAATTAAACACCCGGTTATTAAGAAACAGGTATAACAGAACATTAAAACTGGGTTAAGGCGTACGTCGCGTCTCTAACTCCAGTCTGCGTCTCCCCCAGGCTTTGGAGTCTCTGCTGTCAAACGAGGGCACGCCTGTCTCTTGTCTCACCAACATCACGAGGGCCTTACACGACACCTTAAAGCAGCAGGGTAAAGCCAACGTTCTGCTATCAGGGAAAACCGGACAGACTGTCAAGTCCCCTTCTTTGTGTTTTTGTCCCACAGCTGCTGATGAAGTGGAGGCGTCGCTGCTGCAGCTCTGCTCCTCACAGCTGAAACTTCTTCAGCTCTTCACAGACATCCAGCAGCTGCAGCTGGCTGAAAACACCGAGGCCTGCTCTGGAAATGTGCGTGTGGATGAAACGGTGACGAAACATAAACCCAAGTTCCAGCTCTCCGGGTAACGTTCCCTTCTCCCACAGCGGGACTCCCTTGAAGGCATGGGGGAGGAGTTGTCGCGCGCTGAACCAGCCTTGCGGCGCTACGCTAACTTTAACGCCAAACCCAGCGTTTCCTTTGCTCAGGACTCTCCCGACACACCTTTACCTGCCCACACTTTCCTGTCCCTGCTGGAGTGTACAGAGGGGGGCGAGGTTAAGGTGGTCCGCAGGTCCGATGCGGAATGGAACCAGCTAGGTAAGCTAACATTTGCATATTTATATCCTTATTTAATGTGAACACGGACTTTGCTGTCTTATGATGTCGTTTGTTTTGCAGGAACTTTCGTGTTCTGGGGTTGTTTATGTGGTCAGAGCTCCATCCATAAAGTGTGTGACACACTGGAGCAGGCGGGCCTCAGTCCACAGCAGCTACTGGTCAGGACGTAATCCCAGTTGAAACAAAAATGCTTCCCTGTGTTTAGGAACTGATTCCTGTTTGATGCTTTGACTTTAGTCTTTGCTGCTGAGCGTGTGGCTGCAGAGGGAGAAGGAGGTGCTGCAGAAACCTGCAGAAACCGTTGGAAACCTGCACTCACTGCTTGTTGCTCTTAGCGAAATGAAAGGTTTGACTTCCTTTTCTACTACTTTCTAGCATAAATGTGATGAGAACATGTCAGGATTGTGACTAAAGGTGGGCTAGGAGATGTTTTTCTGGAGCTTTTCTGCAAAGGACCCCCCACCCCTCTGCACATACCCCTCTATGTGCACAAATCACGCGTACTTAGAGCAGCTGAACAGGAAGTGAAGTCACAGTAGCTAGCATGCTATGTTGTTTTATGGTTACGTAGCCTGAGCAGAAGTGACGAAGGGCGTTTTCAGCGTAATAATTCCAGTCCTGCCCCTGGATCTTCGGTCTAGGTCCCAGTGGCCTCTTTCTATTAAACTTTTAAGGGGGTTGGAGTCCAGAGAGGTCCTGACTGGCATGGAACGTTTTTGAGTCCGTCAGCCCGAGGCTCTTGGGTTTTACGTAGGTGCGTTATGTAGGAATCAAGGCAGAAGGGGTGCAGCAACAAGTCTAAAGGTAAGATGATGTTTTCTTTTATGGTAATCTGACCAACTCCATTGGATCTGGCATTCCCCTGTAATCTGGGGGCGTGGTTTAGGGGCGGAGCCTGAATAAAGAGGGATGGACCCTTGAATAGTAGCTTGCTTTACCAGCCTTTTTGTGGATCAACTACCCTACCTTTAAGTTAAACAGATACAAGGTGGAAAGAGGAGATGAAAGAAGCTTGATTGGCTCGTCTGATAGAAAAAAAGCCGATTAAATCTCCACGAAAGGAAATAAATGTTTTCGTTTTCTCAGCTTCTATGCCGCTTTCAGCAAAGCGCTGCTCATACGGCCAGTAGCACCGAGCAATAATTCAGCTTTTGTTTGTTTCAGGGGCAGTTGACGAGTCCTGGGACCCGCAGTCCGTGTCCCCCTGGTGGCAGCAGGTCCGGTCCGCGTGCATCCAGTCTCACAACGCTGCTGCCGCGCTGCTGGCTGCTTCGGTCGCTCATCGTGCTGCCAAAGCCGCCATCGCAAGCAGAGCCGATAGCAAGGTAAAGAGGGAATGTGCGTAATTCCACCACGGACGGACGAGTAAATGTTGTTTTGTGGCAGTTGCAGTCGGAGTGGGAGGCGGTGTCGTTGGAGCTGGAGCAGTGGGCGGTGTGCGTTCGCCAGCTGGAGGATGTGCTGGTGCTGCAGACTCTACTGCTGGTACCTCCTCCTCAGGGAGCAGCAGGAGGCGCAGCAGCTCAGTGCTCCATTAAAACCCTACTGGAGGGAGGAACAGGTGACGAACCATAAAATGTGTTTTTATACACCAAACCCTACATCACACTCTGATTATGTGGACATCAATCTGATGTTTGGGCTGTTTTTGAATTTCTCTGTAAAGGCGGCATCGCAGACCATGTTTCCAAGTGGGTGTTCAGGCAAAACATGTCGCCAGAGCGGCTGAAGGAAATCCTCCAGAAGAAGGAAACGTGTGAGCAGGAAGGAGCTGAGGAGACCGATGAGAGCGAAGACAGAACAGCGGGTGGGAGACGAAACCCGTTTGGGCCACCTTCACACATGAATGTGTTAAATAAAAAATCTGTTTCTGTCCTCTTTTGTTTCCCAGAACTGTTGGTGGCGGTCTGTCAGCGGTTCCCACACTCCCTCGCTCCTGACTTGCTCTTTGCTCACTGCTGCTGGGAATATGTAGTGCAGTGGAACAAAGACCCAGAGGTCCACAAATACAACAAACACATCAACACGAACAGGAGCAATGAAGCGAAAGTGCTAGAAAACGGCGTGATTTTCTCGTATGGGCCGATGCGATAGTAATGGCTGCAGGCTGTGTGGAGTTCATCGTTTAGGTTTTGTTGGACTTTGACTCAGCTGGTCTCTTCATTCTGGGCAGGATTTGGGATTTTGGTGGGATGGCACATCTTTTATTTTTACTTTATAAAACCGGAATGTGGAGTCCCTCAGAGTTATACTTTGGAACCGGATGGGTAACAAATTCGGTACTTTTTAAGGTACCGACCGAATTCCATAGGACCGACTGAGCACCGATTCACGTCATTTGAAACGGTGCCTCGTTTCGGTACCCGTCCTTCATAACGAGAACTTGCCTAGACAGCTGCGCATGCGCAAGAGCGTTATGTCGGTCGCTGCGAGCGAGTTGTAAACAGAGCAGCATGGTAGAAAGAACGCACGCTAAAGCTTGGGTCCACTTCACTAAATGTGATGGGTAACTGGGTGATGATGAAACCAGCGACAACGATCTAAGTGAGGCATCTTCATCTTAATCTGCTCCGGTGGGTAAATAAAATGTTTAAGATAACGCTAGCTTGATATGTTAGCTTCCGTTTCACTAATGGTGCGTTCGCGTTCTCCTCGGAACTCCGATTTTCCAACTAGAAGAACATGAACGCGCTCTAAAGTTTGGCTTCACTTTACTAAATGCGACGGGTGATTGGGTGAAGATGAAACCAGCGACAACGATCTAAGTGTGAGGCATCATCGTTTTAATCTGCTCCAGCAGCTAAATAAACTGTTTAAGATAACGTTAGCTTGATATTTTAGCTTCCATTGCCACCATTGTTATCAGCTAATGGTGCGTTCGCTTTCACCTCGGAAATTCTAACTTCCCAGTAGGAAAAAAAAGAAAAAGGACGGCAAAAGGAATGAAGATACACAGTAAATTTAGTTCACAGTAAAGATGTTTGCTTCAGTTTAATTATCAGCTTATAAAACTACAAGGACGATGTTAAAATACAAACAGCTGTGTGTTATTTATCATGATATTTATCAACTATGGTTATATATTGAGAAAAATATATATTTAATTATAAAAGAGAATTAAAATATTAAACACTCAAAAGTATCTAAAATTGGTACCATTGACTACTGGTATCGATTCAAATGTCAAAGGTACCCATCCCTAGTTAGGAGTACATAAAGCTTTAATTCTCTTATAGTTGTTTTCTCCCAATTTATTTTATTTTATACGAAGAAATTTTTAAATCTGTGTTTAAAACTCTGATTGCTTTCCTTCTAGGAGGCCCAGCGTTTATCCTGCGCTGTAGAACATTTAAAGCTCATCTCCAGTCCCCACATCCAGCTAGGTCAGTAACGCCTTCTGTTTGATCTGACCAATGATGAGGAGGCAGCGGCAGACGCCGCGTTTAGGATTTAAGGCTGTGGAGTCACTATGGTGTCACGGCATCATCTGCAGGTATTTCCACGATGATGTGGAGCACGTTCGTAGTCAAGCGTTTTTCAGCAGCAGCCTACCTCGTGGAGAAGGTAAACCCACTCTCAGGTCGTCATTGCTGACGGGCTTTGTTGTCTCTACTAAACGTAACGCGTGCATTTTATTTTGAAAGGTGGGGAAAGCTCCCAAAGATCGCTTATGTCGACGGGTGAGATTTTCTTTAGATGCTGTTTACGGATGAATCTGATGCGCGGACTCAGACGTCGTGTGTTTGTGAACAGGATGTCGGGATGGGAGACAAAGCCATGACGGCTTTCCTGAGCTGCTGCATGCAGCTGCTGCAGATCCTCATGGAGGTGACTGCGTTACTGGTTAAGAGCCAGAGCTCTTTGTCTTTTATGCCTTTCTATGTAAGTGACTGTAGAGACTGCAGAACAGAAAGCATGGAGAATGGCCAGCGCATGCTGCTCGGCTTTGGTAGAACTACAGGATGAATCGCTGCTAAGTGGCGTCCCTTTGATCGCTAAAGCAGGCTTTAACCTGCAGGCGGACTCCTCCACGGAGGACGTTCCAGCTCCGGAGCCGTCTGTGGAGGAAGTGTGGAGTGGAGCTGAGGGCCCCGCCTCCATCGCTGAGCTCGCCCTGGACCAGAGAGGCGTTCACTTCCCTCTGGTCCAGCACCACTGCCTGTTAGCGTCCCTGCTACATGCTGCCATGAGCTTCGGTGTCAAAGTCAAACCTCTCAGTCTGTTTGACAGCAAGGTGAGCAAACTGACACCTGATATACACCCAGTTGTCTTGTGCATTCTAGCTTGAGTTTGTCTATGTTTTAGGGTAAGAACGCCTTCTTCAGAGATCTGACCACCATCCAGCTGATGCCCAGTGGAGACATGGACCCCGGTTTAGTATCACAGCGTCAAGAGGTGGGAGGAACTCGAGAGAAACTGGTTCTCTAAATGCTTCCTAGTGTGAATTTCTCTGCTGCGCTTCAGTTTCTCTTCCGGGTGCTGACTGCGTGGGTGCAGGCGATAGATGGCGTTTCCAGCTCCGCCTCCGCTCCGCCTCTGCCTTCTGCTGGGCCCAAAGCTGACTGGTGGCCCTCCTTGTGTCTGGAGCTGGGCTCCCTGCTGCAGGTCAACCCGGACATCCTGCGCCGACACCTCGTCTGCGAGCTCTACAACCAAGGCCTGGACCTGCGGGCGGAAGAGGTACGGGTCATCGCTGCAGACTCGGTTTCACTCGGGGAACCCGTGAAGCGGTGTTGTCAGTTTGACCTTTTTCAGCTGTTGTTTGAACTTTTTTGCCGTGAGTCCTAACGCACGACCAGCTGATGCAGCACGTGGTGCTGTTAGGGTGGAAAACGAGGCCGATTTTAGCTTTCTTGGTTCGTTCTTAACTTTGAAATCACGGCAGCTCAGCACCACCAAGATTCTGGTGTAACCCCGCGGAGAAACTGGGCAAAATTTCCAGAACCCGACCAGAACCTCATCAGCTTTGCAACCAGCTGCACACACACACACACACCCCCCCCAAGGCAACAACCTGAGACAGCTGCGGTCACAGACAACGGGTCCGTCACACACAAACGGAACCAGTTCTGTCCGGTGCACTAGCTAGCCCAGCTCTGGAATCACTTCCTGTTCGGCTAATTATTGCAGCTCTGTTTTATGAAGTGTCACTCTGGACTTTTGCACAGTTCCGTAAACGCGATGGCTTCTCCTCTCGTGTGTTCGCCCTCCTCCCAGGTGATGCTAGAGGTAGAAGATAAGGATGTTCTTGGCTCCCAGCTCTTGGTTCTGACTGGACAGCGGCTCAGCTACTCTCTGCTCCACAACCAGGACCAGACCCAGGCTGCCATGGAGCTGCTGGCCCGCCTGCCCCCCACCCTCTGCACATGGCTGAAGGCTATGGTAAGAACCACAACACTCCACCCATGTTTTATCCTTGGATCTGAGCAGGGTTAGGGTAAATCCATCGCTGTGCTCTGCAGGACCCCAGCGACCTCAGGTGCCCGCTGGTCTCTCTGCCGCAGACCAGCCGCCTGGTGAGCCGTCTGATCGAGATGCTGCCGGAGAATCACGCCCAGTACACCCTGGCTTTGCACCTACAGGAAGCGGTGGACGTCCTCACCACTTAGGACTGACCTTTGACCTGGAGACGGAAGCAGGCAAAGGCTATTATTGACTTTGCACTAAAAAGCCTCTCCTCCATTTCATGGAGGTTTTGACCTTCGGATCATTTAGAGAACGGCGTTTAACGCGGCAACTTTTAACCTTTTTTTAATTCTTCCTGTTTTCCGGGCACATCATGGCTGAATTATTGTGTTGGGACTCGGAGCGGGTCTGCTTTTCTCTCGTTTTGCTCTCATGCCACACGCTGAATCTGTTTCTCTCGCTCAGACTAGACATGTATCATAAAGAAATACGGAAGTTGTTATTATTTAAATATGTGCTGCTGGGTCTTCTGTAACTCCACGTCCAGATGCTCGGACAAAGCTCTTACGCAGATTAAAGAGGCTTCTCAGAAACTTTGGGGATATTTGTAACGGGATGTTTATGTTTATGTATTTAGCAGACACTTTTGTCCAAAGCGACTTACACGTGATAACCGGCATGTTGCCCTTGAGGCTAACAACAACAACAACAACAACTTGACATCAATCATGGAGAGGAGGGAACAAGGAGTGGACGGTAGAGAGGGGGGACGGGTGCAGGGAGGGTGCTAGTTTAGAAGATGCTCTCTGAAGAGCAGGGTCTTCAGGAGTTTCTTGAAAATTGAAAAGGAAGCCCCTGTTCTGGTAGTGCTTGGTATGTTATTCCACATTTGTGGAACGATGCATGAGAAGAGTCTGGATTGTCCTGAGCGTGGTGTAGGCACTGCTAGCCGACCATCCTGTGATGACCGGAGCGGCCGGGCCGAGACGTAAGCCTTTGCAAGAGGATTCAGGTAGATGGGAGCCGTACCATCTCGGACTTTGTATGCTAGTGTTAGCTATTTGAATTTGATGCGTGCTGCTAGCGGTAGCCAGTGGAGCTCAATGAACAGAGGGGTGACGTGTGCTCTTTTTGGCTGATTGAAGACCAGACGCGCTGCTGCGTTCTGGACCATTTGAAGAGGTTTCACAGTCCAGCCTGGAAGACCAGTTAGAAGGGCGTTGCAGTAATCGAGGCGGGAGATGACAGTAGATTGCACCAGGAGCTGGGTGGCATGTTGTGTTAGGTATGGTCTGATCTTTTGTATGTTATACAGCGCAAAGCGGCATGAACGAGCAACGGAGGCAACGTGATCTTTAAAGGTCAGGTGTTCATCAATCACAACACCCAGATTTCGAACTGCCTTTGAAGGAGCCAGAGATAGGAAGTCATTCTGGATTGAGATGTTTTCTGTATGGATGGTTTTGCTGGGATGACAAGTAGTTCAGTTTAAGAGAGGTTGAGTTGGAGATGGTGGGATTTCATCCATTTTGACATGTCAGAGAGACAGTTTGATATTCGTGCTGAGACAGTGTGGTCGTCCGGTGGAAATGACAGATAGAGCTGGGTGTCGTCTGCATAGCAGTGGTAGGAGAAGCCATGTGATCGAATGATCTCACCCAGTGAAGTGGTGTATATGTCAAAGAGAAGAGGTCCTAGTACAGAGCCCTGGGGGACTCCTGTGGCAAGATGGTGCATGGTAGAGGATTGTCCAAGCCAAGATACACTGAATGATCGTCCTGTGAGGTACGATTCAAACCAGGCGTGTGCTTTCTCTGTGATGCCCATGCTAGAGAGTGTGGACAAAAGGAAGCCATGGTTGACAGCGTCAAATGCTGCCGATAAGTCGAGCAGGATAAGCACCGAGGATTTGCCAGTCGCTTTAGCTTCTTTTAAGGATTCGGTCACTGCTAACAGAGCAGTTTCAGTGGAGTGGCCCTTTTTGAACCCAGATTGGTAAGGGTCAAGCAGACAGTTTTGTGAGAGGTATTCTGTGATCTGCTTGAAAGCCGCCCTTTCAATGATTTTGGACAGAAAAGGGAGGAGAGAGATAGGTCGGTAGTTCTCCACATGATTTGGAGGAAGAGATGGTTTTAAGCAGCGGTTTAACCTGAGCATGCTTGAGAGAGGTGGGAAATGTACCGGATGTCAGTAGCCACGTTTACATGCGCATATTTAATCGGATTGAATGCCCATTCAGATTGAAAATTCTGCATGTAAACATGTCAATCGGAATATTCTGATCCGATTCGGCCCGATCGGATTGAAATTTCAATCCGATTGAGAGAGGTGGTTTATTCCGTTCTTCATTCCGATTGACGTGCACGTACACAGCCATTCGGATTGTTGGGGTAAAATAATGCCCACTGCGCATGTGTGCAACAGCCAGCGGGCCTCTCCGCTGTCATTTGGACTGCCTGACTTCAAAAATGACGGCGTAATTAACGAGCGGTGGCTTTTAAATCCGACGACAAGCCGTCCCCGTTTCAGTAATATTTAATTCAGAACTTGCATTTTGTGGAAGTAAAATAAAAATCTGATTATTGCACAAATCAGTCGACAAACATGTTCAAATCTGTACTGGAAATACGCAGGTTTATCGCGGGGGTTGCAGCGCACGGATCCCCGTTTCTGTCAGCTTTGAACGCAGCAGCTTCTGCAGCAGGTGATGGAGACACGCTTGTAAAGAAGACAGGATAATCTGGGTTTTACAGACCTGATTGGAGTCTGATGTTGGGTAGGAAAACGTCCTCGGTTAAACACTCTGGACGACAGTAAAGTCCGTGTTAGAAGCACGTAAACGCAGATGACCTGAGATGCGGTTCGTTAATGATGAACACAGGCTTCTAAAACTTTCTGAACATCTTCTGTTATTTTGTTTGAACAAATTTTTCTCAACAGTTTCAGCTGATCGTCACATGTTATTAATAATAAGCCACAACAGAGCTCAGTAATAAAACATGAGGCTAACCGCCACCCCCCACCCCCGCTCTGTGCCGCAGCGCAGCGCAACAGCTGTCAATTCAGACCCGCGGACCAGCTGATCAAGAGGCAGACATAACCCTCCCATATTTTAATCAACAATAAAATGCAGCAAAGCATATATGTGCAGTTATTCACTGAAGAAAACGTCACTTCTATGAGCTAAATAAAAATATTAAATTGAATAAATAGATCAGGAAAGCAGGAAGAATAGTTATTTCTGTTTTTACATTTTTCTTTTCGTTTCATGGCGTTTGTTTACAATTTTTCTTTCGACAAAGGCAACTCTGCGCATGCTCAACCTATTTAATCGGATTAAATGCTTGGTGCGTATGTACGCACGGCATGATCGGATCATTTCAGTTCGTGTCCATGTGAACAGAGATTCGGAAATTCCGATCAACCAAGATTTCAATCGGATTGAGGAAATTTGCCACATGAAAACGCAGCTACTGATGCGTTGATCACATGTGTGACTGCTGCAGCTACTGTAGGAGCAATAGCTTGGAGCAGCTTAGTCGGAATGGGGTCCAGTGGGCATGTAGTAGGGCGGCTGCACGTGAGAAGCTTGGACACACAGTTCCCAGTGACAGGGGAAAAAGAGGAAAATGAAGCAGTAGGGCCTGAGATGGTTGGGCTAGAAGGGGATTGTGTTAGTGAATGTTCAGGAGTGGCCAGTTGAGTAAACGGTTTGCTTATAGCTGCCACTTTGTCAGTGAAGAATGAGGCAAAGGTGTCAGCTGAGAGATTGTTGGTAGGAGGTGGAGACGGAGGGGTGAGCAGAGTTTTGAATGTTGAAAATAGTTTCTGAGAGTCAGTAGAGCTGAGAATTGTGTCAGTGTAGAAAGCTTTCTTTGCATCAGTGATGCTGGCAGAGAATGAGGACAGTAATTCATGAAATTTCAGTTGATCATCAGGATCTTTTGTTTTGCGCCATTTCCGTTCCGCAGCTCTAAGATTGGTGCGTAGAGACCGGAGGGTATCATTTAGCCAAGGGTGCGACTGAGAGGATCTAGCAGGTCTAGTGGCTAAAGGACACAAGTTGTTAAGACAAGAGCCGAGTGTGGAGCAGAGTGAGTCAGTGGCTTCATTCACTTCATAAGCAGAGAATGTGCTGGGAGATGGAAGAGTGGAGGCAACAAGAGATGTATTATAATTTTTCTAGTCAGACTAGATCAATACGAAGCGTGTGCATCGCACGTCTCAGCAGTTTAATACATGACAGAATGAGCTATTGTCCCTATTTTGCTGCTTTCCCTCGCTGTGATGTCACACTAGGGGACTCTTTGAAGCGGCCTGTTTTAGGCCTTCTTAAACCAAACACTGACGGACGCGGTGGAGGATTTTCTTCATGTTTGGGGTGTTTATAGAAACAGCAGAGGCCCACATGGCTGCGTGGAGCGTCCCCGTAAGAATCCTCCGCTCGGACTCGGAGAAATACTTTTATTACAGATTCATCTCGCTTTCCTCATAAACAACTGGCTATTATACAAACGCCATCTTACGTTCGTTTTCTCAGGAGCAGCAACCACCGTGGTCACATGGTGACACTCATCGAGAACGCTTACAGAGAAGAAAGTCCCATCATGCATCGCTTCTACGCTCCAAACAAACAAATATTTACAGTAAAAACGCCGACATGCTGTGCTAACAGGCAGATTTTTGAAGTTGCATGTCACAGTTTCAGAGTATTTATTTAATATCTGCGTTGCGTCCAGCATGGCGTGCCTTGGTTGCCACGGTGACGGGCGTGTCAGTGAGCCTGTGAGACGACGCCGCTGCAGCGCGGACAGAGGCAGTCTGCAGACTCTGCCGTGTAGCGGCGACACCGTGGGCAGCGAGCAGCAGAGGTGGGCGTCACGGCGATGCTGTAGGGGCTGTCCTCTCGGATGACCCCACCTAGCAAACACAAACTCTGGGTGTAACATCTGAAGAGAGGCCTTTCTACCGCAGTCTCCACAAGGATTCGGGCGGCTGAGAGGTTCTTACCTTCCAGGTTGATGAGGAAGGTCCCATGGTTCAGCAGGGCGTCTGGGTGCAGGTCTCGAGGCAGGTCGCTGGCCAGGTTGACCCGCGCCGCCATCATTAGCTCCACCAGCTGGGAGGTGGTGGAGGTGGACTCTTCCTGGAGAGACTAAAAGCCGACGTCAGGAAGATGTAAGTTTGTTTGTAGCTTCTGTGCACGACGAGTCTGATTCTCACCTCCATGAGCTCAAACAGAAGACCGGGCTCGATGGCGATGGTGAGCTCGTACTGGTTGGGGTTTTTCCCGGGAATGGAGGACAGGAAGGAGTCCCTGATGGCACAAGCTCCTTCCACGGCCTCCTCTAAACCTGGTCGCCGCCACACGGAGCTGCTTTTGATCCATCCGCTTCTGAATAACGTTTCTCCTCCTGCCAACATGAAGTCTCTAGTCAGCGAGCAGCAGATGAAACACTCAGACTGTCGTCACAAACCAGTGTGGAGCGTACTCTCGTGTCCCGGTGTGTGCAGGTAGACCTCCTCCGCTAGGTGTGGCAGGATGGGAGCCACAGATCGGGTTACCCCGTCCAGAATTTCCTCTAAAGCCGTCTGACAGGACCTCCTGCCCAGCGAGTCTTCTGCATCGCAGTACAACCTGGTTAACGAAGCGGTCAGTGAGATAAAAACGGAGGTGATCTGTTGTGCCTTCATCGTGGCGAGCCTTCACCTGTCTTTGATGACACTGAAGTAAAAGCTGGAGAGGTCTCTGGTGATGAAGGCTTGGAGGATACGGACCACCCTGCCGGCGTCAAACTCGCTGTAGGCGTCTGTGACCTAAACACACAAAACCGTTCCTAAACGCCTGGAATCCTGCGTGAAACAGGAGTCCGCTGCAAAAACACACCTTCATGCCGAACTCGCGCAGCAGGTGCAGCATGTACTGGTCGACGTAGCGCATCTGCGTCGGGTCTACGGTCTGAAGTCGCGGGTCGAACCCGTGCAGGTTCCCGAGCAGGAACCTGAGCGTGTTCCTCACCTGGAAGACGAACAAGAGGTGATGAAGAGGAGCGGTGGCAAAAGCACGCCTCCGTTCTGCACCCGTACCTTACTGATGCTGTCCCGCGCAGAGTTCAGGGCGCTGGGTCCAATCTGGACTTCGGAGAAGACGTTTGACTCTGCGACCCACCAACGGAGCACGTCTGCTCCGTAAGCCGGAAGACCGCCATCCTGACGGAGACACGAGGAAGGTGGGGGTTTGTGCGTGATGTCATCATCCTGGTTTCAACGCTTTAGACTTGATTTATTAGAGTTTCGGAGCTCTTTCGCAAACACGGGAGACTATTTCAGGTTCTCTATTTAAGGACGTCGCTGATTTTAGAAAAACATTAAACATTAGAGTCCAGCAGCAGCAGCGAGACCGCTGAAGACCCGCAGATTCAGAAAACGTTTATTTAAACTGTATTTTAGTCCAAACCCAAAAAACTGTTCAGAAAAGGTCTGGATTGAATAATTCTGATTAAAACCAAAGTGCCAGTCCCTCTCCGTGGCCCACCTTTGTCCCGTTGATGACTTCATCAGGATCGACTACGTTTCCCAGAGACTTGGACATCTTCTCTCCCTTTTCGCTGACGGCAAAGCCGTGAACCACCAGAGACCTGCGACACATCACAGAACTTTTACTTCAGCGCTTCACTTCCTTGATGTCAATATCTGCTGTTTTGCAGATTTGAATAAAGAACAAAGGCAGGAATCTGACTTGTAAGGCGCCTTGTTCCTGACCGCCACGCTGGTGAGCAGCGAGGACTGAAACCAGCCTCCCAGCTGGTCCTTTCCCTCCACATACGCGTCTGCTCTGGGGTCCGACTCTGCAGGGAGGCAGGAGAGGAGGTGGTGAGGGGGTCTGAGCGAGATACCAGGATGAAGATGAGAAACAGCTGCTCTGAAAGTGATGGCAAAGATCTGCAGAGACAGCCAAGGTGCTTCCTTTGAGAGGCCAAAGGTCACGCTGACAAATAAAAGAGGAGCTTTTATCCTCCTGCTCCATCTTTGGTATCAAACTAGACAGAAGCAGCGGAAAGGCTGCGGTGTCGCCCCCTGCAGGTGAACGTCTGAACCAGCTCAGATGAGACTCCGGCTCCTCAGATGTCCTCCTGATCTTCTGGAGGTGAAAACAAATCATCTCGCATCCAAAACAACAGAAAAAGCATTTGTATTAAAAGATAGATCAGTCGGAAAACCAAACATCTTCCAATCAGAACCGCTAGTCTAACGAAAGCTCTAATCCTGGACTGTAAGTCCTTGTTACGGAGAACCATCAGATCCCTCCGAGCAGCAGTAAAACGGACGAGCTGCACGAGCCAGCTTTACGTTACAACACCAAATAAACGTGAGTCGGACCTTCCAGCACGGCTGCCCACGATGCTCCGCTGTCGAACCAGATGTCCAAAACGTCTTCTCCTCGAACGTAGTCGCTCGCCGGTCCCGCTTTACTCTGACGGAACGAAAACATGATCAGAGACGCCTGAAAAGCTGCTGGGAGCAGCCACGGAGACATTTTAATTCCCGGTTTGTAAATCAAGTCAGAAACAAACGTGACACTTCTCCCAGCCTCTTCTCCAGTCGTCGGTTCACCTCCTGCTCTGTTCCAACTCTGATTACGACAAACACGACGTTAGAAAACTACCTTCTTGAGAACTTCTGGAGGCAGCAAAGCTTCGATGGGAAGCTCCCACCAACAGTCGCTGCCCTTTTCTTTGAAGAGTTTTGCGACGTGGGCCACCGTGTATCTGCAGATAAGGAGACGCCAAACTGAACAAATCTTTCTAAATATCAGGAATGTGTTTTAAAACCGGTGCAGAAGTCGGTGTGTGTGTGTGTGTGTGTGTGTGTGGTGTCTGCCCACTTGTTGATCAGAGGTTCTCGGCTCTCTCCGTGGTAGAAGACCGGGATGGGGACCCCCCAGCTCCGCTGCCTGGAGATGCACCAGTAGGTCCGACTGTCCAGCATGGCCAGCAGGCTGCTTCTGGCCGACTCTGGCAGAATCGTCACCTTCTGCAGCGCTTCCTGCAGAAACACAAACGAACCTAAACCACATCACTTCCTGGAGTCGAGCGCTCTTATGCACTTCAGACTACGACAGATCTACCTTGGCTTTGTCTTTGAGCGACGCCGTGTTGATGAACCACTGTTTACTGGGCCTGATGACCACAGGCTGCTTGGTGCGCCAGTCGTATGGATAACTGTGGACGCACTGCTCCTCCAGCAGCAGAGAGCTGCTCTCCTTCAGCAGCGAAATCACTAAAGCAGCAGAAAAGCAGGATGACTTCAACAGAAGCACACAAACGCTGGTCCAGAAGGCTGAATGTCTACCTTTATCAGTTCCCTCGGTCATCACAGGCAGGTTCTGGAGCTCAGGTCCAGCCAGATCTGTGAACTTCCCATCTTCATCCACCATACAGTCCTTCCACCACAGGAAAGGCACCGAAATACAATCTTTAAATTAGATATGCAACCAGGAGACACGTCTATGTTGATCTTTAAACGTAACACTAGAAAGGACAGATCCATTCAGACAATTAAACAAAACTCCATCCATCCATTTTCATCCGCTTATCCGGAGTCGGGTCGCGGGGGCAGCAGCCTAAGGCGATAGGCCCAGACTTCCCTCTCCCCAGCCACTTGGGCCAGCTCCTCCGGGGAAATCCCAAGGCGTTCCCTGGCCAGGTGAGAGACATAGTCCCTCCACCGTGTCCTGGGTCTACCTTTAGGCCTCCTCCCGGCTGGACGTGCCCAGAAAACCTCACCAGGGAGGCGTCCAGGAGGCATCCTGACCAGATGCCCGAGCTTCCTCAACTGGCTCCTCTCGATGAGGAGGAGCAGCGGGTCTACTCCGAGCCCCTCCCGGATGACCGAGCTTCTCACCCTATCTCTAAGGGAGAGCCCAGCCACTCTGTGGAGGAAACTCATTTCGGCCGCTTGTATCCGTGATCTCGTTCTTTCAATCACTACCCAAAGCTCATGACCATAGGTGAGGGTAGGAACGTAGATCCACCCGTAGATCGAGCTTCACCTTCTGACTCGGCTCTCTCTTCACCACGACAGACCGGTACAATGCCCGCATCACTGCAGATGCAGCACCAATCCGCCTATCGATTCCACGCTCCAGCTTTCCCTCACTCGTGAACAAGACCCCGGGATACTTAAACTCCTCCACTTGGGGCAGGACCTCATCTCCTTTTTTGTTTATTTCTGGATGTTTTAAAACCAAAAATCACCAAACGTACCACAGACAGTTTAAAGTGTGAAGCCACACTGTAATCGTCCATGCCGTGAGCTGGCGCCGTGTGGACCAACCCTGTTCCTTTCGCCATCGTCACATGATTGGCTGGGAGCAGCGGGACTTGCTTGTCTGGGATTGTGGGATGTTTGCATAATCCGCCTTGAAGCTGGGAGCCTTGTTACAAAAAAAGGTAAAAGAATCCATTTGAATTAACTATTTGTCACTGAGGGACCATTTAAAGGCTGAACGTGACAATTAGCATCACCGGAAACAACATTTGGTATAAATATGAACACGGGGTAATAACCAACCGGTGATTTGTGCACAAGAGGTTCTGAATGTGTTTGAATCTTCTGCATCGTTTATGAAACTCGGTCGCTTTTGCAGACAGAGTGGCGTTCGTTCCTTACCTGAGAGGGTGCAGATGCTTTGCAGCTCTGTGTGCAGCAGCGCTGCCAGGCTAGCCGTCCGTTCAGTCGCCACCAGCAGCAGCTGAGAATTATCCGCCCGCTTCACTACCGAGTATCTGCAAAACAGAAACGAGCTTCTTGTATTAAAAAGCAAAACCATCACACTTTCCTGCAAGATGCTAACACGTAAGTTAAAGCTTTTTGGTGTGGAGGCTCTAAATATGAGTTTAAACCCCAAAACAGAAGTCTGATGCATGACGTTTGTAACTTTAAATGATCGGATTCTGATGGCAGGTTGTGGGTTTTACTCACTGAGCGTTTGGCATGTAGCACACAGCCTGGTTGGCAGGAATGGTCCATGGCTGGGTGGTCCAGACCAGCACCGAGACGTTCTCCAATCCTGCAAATCATTTCCTTGACAGTCAGGACATTCCTCGCAGTGTTTTTGTAACGCCGGCGACGTGAGCGTGACCGAATCACCTTCTTCTGAAGCGAGCTTTGGCGGGAGCGTGACGAGAGGAAACGTGGCGTAAACGGCTCTGCTCGTGTGTTCGGGGTTGTACTCCAGCTCCGCCTCGGCCAGGGCTGTCCTGTGCCGTCGCAGAAACACCGTGAGGGTTTACAGGTAGAGGCGTTTCAACAGGTTGCAGATGACATACCTGGACGATGGAGACCAGAAGACGGGTTTGTAGTCCTGATATACGAGACCCTGAGGAGAGGCACAGCCCGTTTGAGCTGACAGTCAGAAAACAAGCACCGTCCACTTGGGGAGCGCGTGTTCCCACCTTGCTGTGCATCTCCAGGAAGACTTTCAACTGAGCCGCCTCGTACGCCCCGTCGTACGTGTAGTAGCAGTGTTCCCAGTCAGCCATCACCCCCCAGCGCTGGAAGGCAGCCTTCTGCCGAGCGATCGCCCCTTCTGCAAACTCTCGCGCTGGGAGAGAGTAACACAAACCGTTACAGCAGCTGCACATCAGGGGCGCCTCCAGAGAATTTTGGTAGGGGGCGCCGGGCGGGGCCATAGAAACTTTTGGGGGTGGCACGCCAAACTGGCCCTTGTGGTAACTCTGGGAGAGTTTAGCCTGCACCGCATCGCTCGTTTATTCGTTATTATTAAAAAAAAACCGTACGCTTCCAAAACGCTGAAGTCAAATTTTACAAACACAAACATTTCAGTTATTTAAATTATTTCCACACTTATTTAATTATTTTTTTATACATCTGTTGCTGCATTTACAGAAAACTATGGAAATAATGATTTTTTTAATGGTGAGCAGCAGAAACATGTATTCTTTTATTCTGGTTATTTCTTTACTCATTATTTTTACCATTTTTATTGTGCTACATTTACGTCTTGAATAAATAAGACTAATTTATTATTTGAGGGAACATTAATGTGATTTATTAACAACGGCTTTTCCTGGGGGCCAGCCATTTTCTAGCCACCCTTTGAGGGCACTATTGCTGCAAATCCAGGTGACGATCAGGTGATCGCCTGTCCATCCTCACCTTTACGTCTAATCTGCAGCGGGCCGAGGCCACTGGTGCCCAGATCGCCCAGAGCTTTCATCTCTATGGGCAGGCCGTGGCAGTCCCAGCCTGGGATGTAATGGACCTGTCGTCCTCTCAGCATCTCAAAACGATTACGGATATCTTTCAAGATCTGGAAAAAAAAACAGGAATTCTGACTTAAAGAGACTGCAACACAATCACACACAAGTGGGGATCAAATGAGACTGGTTGACCTTATTGAGTGCATGGCCAACGTGAGGGTCTCCGTTGGCATACGGGGGTCCATCGTGAAGGCAAAACCCCTTCTTGGCCTTCCTGTCTCTCTGCCAGGAGTACAACTCTGCAAACCCACATTCCTGCAAGAGTTCAGAAAGGAAAGGACATGTGGCCTGAACTCACTTCTGACCGTTTTAGATGTGGAAGCTCTTGTGAGCTGCAGTGAGGCTTATATACTCTTTAAATGTATTCATGCTGACATGATGAAACCAAGATCCAAGATAATATTTATTCAGTTTATTTTAATGTTAACTATTCCTAGTTCCCGATTGGATTCTGAACTAATGCGAGAGTTTTACGGACGTTATGGTGAGACTAACCTGCTGAATTTGAAGTTCTTGGTCCAGAAGCTTCTGTCCGGTTAGTTTCATGGGGAACTCAGTCCGGGGCAGGAGCACCGTGTCTCGGTACAGAGCCTGAGCGGAGCCTCCCTCTGCGGGCTGAGCGCTGTTTTCTCCGGGGCTGACACCATGACAGCGGCCGGAGCTGATGGACACGGCGCGGCTGAGGAGGAGGCCACCTCCCCGGTGTGACCTCCGTGCCCATCCCGCAAGCGTGTGGGTCACGGCCGAAACTCGACACAGCAGCATGGAGGGGGAGAACGCTCCTTAGCCGATATAATGTCTAAAATAATAAATAATAACGTAGTACACTTTTTAGTTTCTGCGGTGTGTCTTCATATTACGTCCTACCGGGCGGGCGTATGTTTTTTCCGGAAGAAATTCGAGTGAACACTACTACGGAATCCCAGTAGGGACAACGCAGATTTATTTTTTTGCATTCAGCTGTTGTTCCGTAGCGCTGTTAGTAAACTAATATGTGGAGTTTAATGTTTTTATTAATAAAATAAAATGTTTACAGTTAAATGTTTCACAGATTCACGACTTCTACATAAATATCGTAAAGGAACCGTCGACATAAAGGAACATGTTCTAAACCCTTAAACCAGGGCCGCCATCGTTAGCTAAACTTGAGTGTAGTCAGGAAAGTTGGATGTTACAAATACTAAACCTTTTTACAAATTATTCGCTGCTGATCTCAAAGTTTATATAAGTACAATAACAGATTCGACCAATAAGAAAGCCATACAAACTATGAGAATTTATAATGCATGTAATATCACTCTGTAACTCGCATTTGGTGTCTTTCATTGTCTGTTTTTTCTTTTCGTTTTTTTTTGTTTGTCTAGTTTAGTGTAGTATTTGTACCATAATAACGGTTGTAATGTTTGAAAATTTTCAAATTAAAAAAATAAATAGTTAAATAGGGATGTTAAATTTTCCACACGAAAAGAAAATTAGTATTAAACAAAGGTCAGTTCCCTCTGTAAAGTCAGAGGTACAGAACAGGATTAGGGCCACTGGAAAGAAAAAGAAAAGAAAAATAATTCTGATTTTTCCCTCAGAATTCTCTGTCAAAATTCCGAGATTAAAAGTCAGAATTCTGATTTTTTTAAATATCATAATTTTGAGAAAAAAAGTCAGAATTCTGAGAAATAAGTAAGAATTATCTTTCTTTTTTCTTGTCAGTGGCTCTAATCCTCTTCCACACAGAGTAGAAATAAATAAATAAAATGATGAACAAAGGGTTGTCGGTTCAGCAGCTGTGTTTCTTGGTCTTGAAATAATAACCAATAGTTTTACATTTGACATGATTGATCAGAAATCACAAAGTCATGCTGGTTAATTTATGTAACTAAATATGTTTATCTTTACAGTTGCTGTATTTTCCTGCTCTGGCCGCTAGAGGGCTACTTAAAGCTCCTGCCACAGCTCAATGGGTGACGAGCTGAAACGTTGGTTTGATGAAACATTTAGAAGAAATAGTGAGATCATCGCTTTTAACTGTGTTACAGAAATGCATTTTACCGTGTTTTTAACTAAATAATAAGAGGAAAAGCAAAGTTAGAGTGAGTTTCCTTGTTGCTAACACCAAACAACATGTTTTATTTAGCAATAATTTACTATTTTCTACTGAAAACTTTAGAAATGAAGTTTCCCCTTCTTCTCATTATTATTATTATTATTATTATTATTATTATTATTATTATTATTATTATTATTATTATTATTATTCCCAAGTGGACAAAAACAAAAATTGGGATATTTTCCAGCTTCTCTTCTAAGGAAGTCGAAGTGTTGTCTTGTAAATGGAACCAATACGACATTTTTGCTGCAGGTAATAACAATAGTGAGACCATTTGCCATGCAAATACCACAAAAGATGACCCAAAGATTTACATGTGTGGGAAATCATATATGAATTTTTTATAGGCGTATAAATATCTTGGCAGGTACTTTTTCTTCAGTCATTAAATAAACCAGCTGAAATAATTCATTGGTGGTCTGCTTCAACGGCAAACAAGATGACAGCTGCCCTCCTGGCAGTTTACCTGCTGGCTGTCCCTCACAGGTTGGTTTCTTTAATTATGTTCACTTTTAGAAGAATGTGTCCTTGTGTCGGGTTTTCAGTAGAACCAGCCCACCACTGAAATCAGAAAGAGTCTATTCAAGAACCTCATTTCTAGCTTACGTTGGCATATATATGTGTATGTTTTTTATTGCAGGTCTGGGCTGCCAACACAACAGCCAGCCCCGCAGTCCTCACCATCGTCTCTACCACCAGGAAGGCTAGCAACAGTGGATCCACTGGGATGATGAGCTCCTTCTCCCTGCTGCTCCCTCTGCTCCACACTGCTATATCCAACCATGCATGGTCCAAATAACCACCCAATCCTGACTCGTTCTGTGGGAGAAGATGAAGTGGAAACAAGCTGGCCTTCTCAAAAACATTTACAGGTGCTGGCCAGTAAATTAGAATATCATCAAAAGGTTGAAAATATTTCAGTAATTCCATTCAAAACGTGAAACTTGTACATTATATTCATGCAATGCACACAGACCAATGTATTTCCAATGTTTATTACGTTTAATTTTGATATTTATAGGTGACAACCAATGAAAACATCAAATCTGGTATCTCAGAAAATTAGAATATTCTAAAGGCCAATGAAAAAATGTTTGTTTCTCTAATGTTGGCCAACTGAAAAGAATGAACATGAAAAGAATGTGCATGTATAGCACTCAATACTTAGTCGGGGCTCCTTTTGCCTCAATAACTGCAGTAATGCGGCGTGGCATGGACTCGATCAGTCTGTGGCACTGCTCAGGTGTTATGAGAGCCCAGGTTGCTCTGATAGTCGTCTTCAGCTCCTCTGCATTGTTGGGTCTAGCGTATTGCATCCTCCGCTTCACAATACCCCATAGATTTTCTATGGGGTTAAGGTCAGGCGAGTTTGCTGGCCAATCAAGGACAGGGATACCATGGTCCTTGAACCAGGTGCTGGTGGTTTTGGCACTGTGTGCAGGTGCCAAGTCCTGTTGAAAGGTGAAGTCTGCATCCCCATAAAGTTGGTCAGCAGCAGGAAGCATGAAGTGCTCTAAAACTTCCTGGTAGACGGCTGCATTGACCCTGGACCTCAGGAAACAGAGTGGGCCAACACCGGCAGATGACATGGCACCCCACACCATCACTGACGGTGGAAACTTTACACTGGACCTCATGCAACGTGGATTCTGTGCTTCTCCGCTCTTCCTCCAGACTCTGGGTCCTTGATTTCCAAAGGAAATGCAGAACTTGCTTTCATCAGAAAACATAACTTTGGACCACTCAGCATCAGTCCAGTCCTTTTTGTCCTTGGCCCAGGCGAGACGCTTCTTGCGCTGTTTCTTGTTCAAGAGTGGCTTGACACACGGAATGCGACACCTGAATCCCATGTCTTTCATGAGTCTCCTCGTGGTGGTTCTTGAAGCGCTGACTCCAGCTGCAGTCCACTCTTTGTGGATCTCCCCCACATTTTTGAATGGGTTTGTCGTCACAATTCTCTGCAGGGTGCGGTTATCCCTAGAGCTTGTACACTTTTTTCTACCACATTTTTTCTGTCCCTTCGCCTGTCTGTTAATGTGCTTGGACACAGAGCTCTGCGAACAGCCAGCTTCTTTAGCAATCACCTTTTGTGTCTTGCCCTCCTTGTGCAAGGTGTCAATGATTGTCTTTTGGACAGCTGTTAAGTCAGAAGTCTTCCCCATGATTGTGGTGCCTTCAAAACAAGACTGAGGGACCTTTTAAAGGCCTTTGCAGGTGTTTTGAGTAAATCAGCTGATTAGAGTGGCAGCAGGTGTCTTCTATATTCAGCCTTTTCAGAATATTCTAATTTTTTGAGATACCAAATTTGGAGTTTTCATTAGTTGTCACTTATGAATATCAAATTTAAATGTAATGAACATTGGAAATACATTGGTCTGTGTGCATTGCATGAATATAATGTACAAGTTTCACGTTTTGAATGGAATTACTGAAATATTTTCAACCTTTTGATGATATTCTAATTTACTGGCCAGCACCTGTATATTTTCTATCCACGTGGAGCCGAAACCCAACTTTCACATTTCTACGGTTTTTACCTTTGCTCTAACATCGTTGTTGGACTAGATAACGAGAAAGGTCATGAACACAAACTACTGTTAACTCAGTGGATGTGTCTGGATGTCTGCGTTGCTAAGATTAAAACAATGAGATAAAGCGGGAGCCTTCAGCTGCGCCCTCTGGCGACAGCAGAGCGAAACTACATCCACCAGCTCTGCTGAACTGTGATATTTTCATCTTTTCACCACAAGAGGGCGACAAAGCACGGCTGCTCAGACCAATCTAGCAGTGAGAGCCCAAAGGGAAGTTTAATGTTTATCATCTGTTTCAAACAAAAAATCTAAATGATTTAGGATGCTTTAATGTCTTTATTTAGCCTATAAATCTACAGTAACCACAACAAAAGCAAAATATTCCACTGTGCTGGCCATCCTATATAAATATGTGATATATGAGGTGACTTGCCAGGCTATTGTTTATTCAGATGACACACGGAAACAGCGATGAATGCATTTCTGTTAGTTTCTAAATGATGGTTTTGCATATTTGGAAATAAGATCAATGTTTTATGTTTGTGCTTTGTGTATTTATTCATTGATTAACTAATTAATGTGTTTGTTTGTTTATTGTATAACGTGTGAAATGCATTTCTCGTTTGTTAGTGTCAGATGTCGGAAAGCAAAACATTTTTTTTATTTCTGATTGCCACTTGGGGAAAAAAGACTGACTTACGGATGACTAGTGACCCAAACCTTTGCAGGTCTGACTAGCAGGCAGTGCTGATCTCGCTCTTTTCACTAGTTAGACCAACTTAGTCATTTGAATTCCACAAATCTTCTTAATGTGTCTATTTATAGAACAAATCCACAACATAAAACTTCAGGGGAAGCTAATTTTGACAAACTTATGAACAATTAAACAAACCATAACCCGTCCTTGTAACGTTTAACCAGATTAGCAAGACTTCGTTATTTTGAGGGGAAATGCGTAAAAAGGGATGTTTTCCATGGGGTCCTTGAACGCAGCACAACCAACAGCAGGTGATTCGCGTTTCTTGGTGATGTCACGGCGAGTATAAAACCGTTCCAGCGCGTCTTCTGCGTCTACTGAGCACCAGAAGCGCATTTTGGCTCCGGAGTTTGCACCAGACATCATCACCATGAACAAGCTGTGCGTCGCTGTGGTCGTAACTCTCCTGCTGACCTTCTACCTCTCAGCTCAGGTTGGCTTCTTTACTTTATTAGTCAGGATGTTAAACATAACTGTTAACGGATCAACCCTCCAACATAATCAGAATTTAACGTTAGGTGTTTGAACCTGCAACCGTTTTCCCTCGTTATGTCCGATTCCTCTTCTAACTGTTTCTTCTCCGTTAGGTGGTCCGGGCGGCTAACGGCACCAGCTCCAACTCCAGCAACGCCAGCCCCGAGCACGGCTCCCCCTCCACCCTGCTCCTGCTCCCCCTCACCGTGGGGACTGCTCTCCTCCTCAGCCGGTTTGGGTGATGGCCCGGTCCGAGCTGCGCAGCTGGGAGTGTGGATGGATAACCCTAACCTGCGTGGCTCATCTTTGTTCGTTTTCTGCTGGGTGAGGGTAGTTCGGGCCGAAGCGCGCGCGCGCAGGACCCCCCGGTCTTCACTGGTTCATGGACTAAACTTCTGCTTGAGGGAGATGTAGTTGGGTTAATGTGAGAATGTGTGAAGTCACCTCTTTGCCTTGAATGAAAAGGTTGTAATAAGATGTTTTAGATTTTATAAATTGAATAAATCTACTGATCAGAACTTTGGAACTTTTGATTCTCAACCACCTAAACTGGTGCAGGGTCACACCTGGACCAGGCAGCAGGTCTGATCCTTACTGCGCAGAAAAAGCTGATTCTGATTACTTGTGTCTGAACTCATGAGTAAAAATTCACTAGATCTGTTAACTGACTCCTCAACCCTTGGTTAACATGCAACTTTCACTAAAGTGGCATTAAATGAAGTCTGTGCATAATCCTTGCATTTGAACACTTCTGTCAACCTTCCTGCTTCTTGAACTCCAGATGCTTCCCCACGTCAGGATTGCACTTGTACCTGGAAAACATGAATACAGAATTATAATTTAAAAAACTCATAGTGCTAAATGGAAAACTGGGATCCATGTGAAGCAGATTCCTCCAGCCATGGGTAGAATATCCCTAAAGGATGACACAATCTAATTTTTCACATTTAATCTCAGGCCCAGTCATCTTGCGTTGGTTAAAACTCAGTTCAACACTCTTTAATCCATAGTGAAACTTGACGTTGCTGCAGGGTCTCCAAAAGCACACCTGGCACCAGTTCCTCAAGAGTAACCATTGTTTAGGGATGTAAGAAGTCCGAACCGATTAATCAGATCGCTGAGCCTTCCTCCCCCACCTGCCGAGGGGTCTCTGCCATCAAAGGGTCTTTCTGTGTGAGACTGCAGGAATTCACCTTTCCCTTCTCCTTCCACCCCCCCCCCTCCCCCAGGTAGATGCTTTAAGTGGTCACTGACGGTCAACCCAAACCTCTCCACACAAGGGCCTCTCGTTTCAGGGCTGATCGGCAGGAATGTGGCTCCATCAGGGTTTAAGGAAAACCTTTGCAGGTTTACTAAACAAACATCTGTTAGACGTTTATGATGGAGCGTCTCCCAATAGAGAGGATGGGTAGTTGAAGGTGAGGACTGATGAGTGCAGGTTCTGATAAGACAAGCTGGACAACACAGCTTTTGTCAGGATATCGGATGGAATTCGATTCCCACAAAGATCAGGGGTGGGTGCAGGGAGGAAGAGCCGGAGGCCGAGCTCTTTTCCAACAGGAGTTTGGATTTGATTCCAGGCACACGCTGATGTTCGATCCACAGATCAGCTCTTCATTTGTTCACAACATTCAGACTAAAGTGGAAGTATAAGAGCGACGCATGGGAGGATTTCCTGTTAGAGGGAAATGAAGCAGGAAATGAACTGAGATGAATGCGTGGGTAATCCACAGGAAGCTCCAACTGGAGAACAAACCCTTTTGCCCAGTTCAACCAGTAGCCCGTCAACTTCTGAGACAAAGATTTCAAGGAAGTGAAATGTAAAAAGGTCGGCATTCTCCACCTCCTTCATGAAAACGAGAGCGTCTCTGTGGACGTTTAAAACGTTGGGGGAATTTTCAGAGAACACTTCAGACTCTCGGCTAAAAAATGCTTGTTGCTTCTCGTGCTGTCAGGCAGAATCTGTCACCTGAATGGGAATGAAAACTGGAATAATCAGCTGCAGCTTTTGTCTGAGTAATCAGAGTACACTTCCAGTTCCAGGACTAAACAAACACTTTCTGTGTTGAAAATGTGCAAAAATGGTGATGAAAGCTTTCGATTGACTTGAGAAAGCCCTTTTACTTCGTATTGCAGGCCGAGCGTTTGGTTAGAGCGTAAAGACTTCAGGATGCTGCTTTGTTCATCACATAACCAGAAACATGATGCACGATTGCCACGGCGGCGCCACAACAGACGTTCTACCACTCTCTTATCAGTTTCAGGCCCTGCTGCAGCTGCGGGCTCTTCCACTGAGGAAGTTCAATCACCACATCCTGTTCAAGACAAAAAACTCTACTCACAAAACCACAACCAATGTTTTCTTTACTCACAGGCTTACACCTTGCTTTGGAAGGAAAAAACCCTTAAAGAGCAAGTCACCCCCTACAGATTCTTACTCAACTCCCACTTCCTGTTTGAAAAATGCAACAAATGCTGTTGCCTAGCAGACCGAGAGGGTGGAGTCAGTAACAAATACACACACTCACGACATTGTGACATCATAATGTACCATCTAACATCATAGTGTACCTCTTAGCCAATAGCGATGGCAGATTTAAATTCAAACGCAGTGCTGAGTTTTTACCTGACGACGGTGCATCGCTGAGTTTTAGGCAGAATATTTAAATTTTAACTAAAATGAACTAAAATGCCGAATTATTGAATACAGTTGTCTACATTTATTTAGTTTATTTATATAGTTTATCAGCAAAAAAAATGTTGATTTGGAGTGACTTGCTCTTTAAATGAGATACTTGTTGCTGTTGTAACGTCCAGAAAGGGTCGGCTTTGACCTTTATAGTGACCGGCCGTCTAGAGCTAATTCCACCATCTAGGTGGATTTTCTCTTCTATCTTCTAACACTCAGAAGATTCTTCACTGCATGCTTCAACTGCTGTTTTTCTCTTGGGTTGGGGTTTTTCCCTGCGCCGTCACTTCTCCGCACGGTTGACCTCATGAAGGGACTCGGCCCACAATGTGGGGGACTTCGTATCTCGAGCTCTCGTACCAGCTGTCCGTAACGGTCCTGACCAGGTACCTCCGCCTGCGCCGGTCGGTCCGGTTCCTCCGCTTAAATCTTCACCTTCCGAAGGCGGGTGCTTTATTTGTTTTGGATTCTTCTGTCCCACAGTTCTCTGTTTCGAGTTACACAAGTTCTGTGTGTGTGTGTGTGTGTGTGTGTGTGTGTGTGTGTGTGCATGGTTATATTTCAGTTCAAGTTTATTTATAAAGCGCCAAACCACGACAAGACTCGTCTCAAGGACCTTCACACAGTAAACATCCCAACACAGGTCAGGTCATTAAGCCAATCAGTAACAAGTTTCCTATATAAGGAACCCAGCAGGTCGCATCAAGTCACTGACTAGTGTCAGAGTCTTTACAGCAATCCTCATACTAAGCAAGCATGCAGCGACAGTGGAGAGGAAAACTCCCTTTTAACAGGAAGAAACCTCCAGAGAATCCTGGCTCAGTATAAGCAGCCATCCTCCACGACTCACTGGGGATGGAGAAGACAGAACACACACACACACACACACACACACACACACACACACACACACACACACACACACACACACACACACACACACACACACACACAATCGAAACAAGGAATTGGAATCAGAATCGTCCTAAATCAAACGAGTCCCACCGTTTCTGCATCACCTCTGCCCCTCACGTGTCTATATCTCATATATCTATATTCTCAGAGGCGATAGGTGCTAAAATATTTAGGAATTGCGGATAAAAAGTTTAAAAATCGAGTTGTTAGTCTGCGATTCTCTTGTAGTTTGTTGTGCTCCAGTAAGGCGGCAGTGGTGCGTTTGTGTGCAGCTTTTCATTAGCATGAATCTGTCTGATATGACGGACTCTGACGTTACAGAAGAGTCTAACAGCTGAGAGGAGCTGGACCGGTGTAGCTGAGAGCAGTTTGGTG